CGCCTCTCGGCCAATCACAGCACGCGTACTATCTTAGTTATTTTGTAATAAATAATATTGCCTAAAACTCATCTGGTAGTTATTATAAGTAACGAAAAAATCTATTAAATCATGAAAGTGATATTGAAAGAAAAAAAATTTTCAACTCCGGCATGTCAATACAGTCCGTCCATCCTTTCGACATCGCGTGAATTCTTGACTTCATTTATTGCCGTTACGGTTTCTCTTTTCATTTTTGTTAACGTGAAAGTGTAAAACAGCAATCAGCACTTTTCAACTCAACGGAGTTTGATAACGCGATCATTATCGAGAACAAAATAAGACAATACAATATTATTATAAAACTAAAGACTAGTGTTGGGCAGGTTTAATTTTCACACCGATTGAACGATTACAACAGCTCACAAAACTCATTATTTACCATCCACAAGTACGGAGTACTCCCACAAAAGTTGCACTTAAATGGGATACTGTCTGAGTCAAAATAGTGGATGTAATTCTAATTCATTCCGGGCGCAACAAATCACTACATTTGGTCCCATAATCTTCCAAATCGTAGAAAAAATATTCAACAAAGTATCTCGTATAAAAAACTTGGGCTAAAGCTCAACTCCTAAGTGGAGTGCTGAGAACGCTTCTTGAATAGCTCTTCCACAGGCTAATTCAGATGAGTATCCACCAGCTTTCTCTCCTTCAGTGGGGCTGCGCACATGCCTCAGGTACCTAAACAAAGAAACATAACGTTACAGCACACAGCACAACAAACGGATACGAGTAAAAGGTACGGAAAAGCGAGCAAAAAAAAAAAACAGCAAATCCAAAAAAGACACATGCAACTTGTCTTACAACATTGCTAAAAAACGAGTTGAATAGCCGCCAAATTGCGCGATTTACCACCCAAATGAAACCTGTCTTGCACGAATCAGGTTGTAATAAGGTTTGATCGTGGGCGGTAAAACCCGAAACATAGTTTTCAGCAAAACAAGTAGTACGTTTTTGTTGAACGTTTTACCCAAGCCTAAAAGTTGCGAGACATGTCGTCAGCTTCATAATTCCTCAGACTCAAACCAAGTATTTAAGACAAGGCACACACGATTTGAGTCTGACACGCTCTTTCATGAGGGGCCAGTCAATTTTCTGTACCCTGTCCGATATCGAGGCACCGTCCAACGCTCATCAGAATATAAAATGAAATGATCAGGAATTCTTAAATGAAGAAATTGAATCAGTTCGCTAAAATTTTAAGGTCTTTAAACATCTATAAATGCAGTGACTTCCTGTGATTGAGAAATAGTAATAATAATAATAATAATAATAATAATAATAATAATAAAGTCCGTAAACTCGTGGGTAGAGTATACCTGATGGTATTATCCCAGTTTAATTGCATAATAACAGATATTTTGCATGTCGATACAAAAATAAAATTAATTAATTACAAAAGTACCCTCTTAAATTAAAATTTAGACAATTTTATTTAAAAAAACTATTAAAATCCTATTTACAATTAATTCGCTTAAAAAAAAAGATAATAATAATAATAATAATAATAATAATAATAATAATAATAATAATAATAACGATGACGATGATGTCGATGACGACGACGACGATGATGATGATGATGATAATTCCTTTATTTACCCTCGGTAGTATTTATAGCACTAATGCTAGTAGGGCCGAGCAAATGCCTGAAACAAATAATCCACATTGAATTTAACAGGGCCAAAGAATCCCAGCTGGCCGGAGGTAAACTAACTGGCTACAAGCATGGCCGGGGATTTGAACTCGGGACTACCGTGAACATATCCAGCTAGCGGTCAGGGTGGGACTTGAGCCCGGGACCTTCGAATTGCAAGGCCAGTGCTCTAACCACTCGGCCAATGAAAAGACACTATTATTTTTTAATGTGAACTTACCCTCTTGCAGCAAGAGTCTCCATTCCTGGGGCAGTGGGTCCATCGTTCACTACCTCTGGAGCAACGTACACGAATGCGGGGCCTTCAGAGGACGGTAAGGGAGCGAACGTCTCCTGAGACTTAAAACAAGGTGGACAGATCATCACATACCGCCATTCTACTTTGCAAAGGGTCTGAACATAAGTTATACAAACACAAGTCTTTTAAAGTTTATATATGCAAAGAAACTTGCTTTTACGACGTTCTTCTCACGCGCAAACGATATTTTATTATTTTACGAACTATCGTTCACAAAAGAACCGACGGAAACCGTGAACGCATAACGTTTACTGGTTTATACGCTCAACCATTTAACCCCTTCAGTTGACCAACATCATATTTATCCTCTTAGTAACACTGCTCAATCAATCATAAAGGTTTTGAGAAAATAAGGAACAACTAAAACATTTTTTGATTGTTAAACAAAGTCTCCTCACCAGTACTAAAGGTAATGCATATAGAACTGTGTGGACAAACTTGTAAAGAAAAGACAAAATTGTTTATGCACGCTTGGACAGTGAGCAGTCTCTTTTGCCTCAGATTTAGTGAGGAAAGTACACTCGCGCGCGAGCGTCACGAGAAGCAAGAAACGGGCGCGCCTCTACCGTGTCACACCTTCAGTCGTACGCATGGTCATTTTCGCTCGATGGAATAAGAACAACGGGAAGCCGCTCATATAGTCTGATTCACGTTTACATAGTCTGAAAACTTCGTATAAGCAAATGCCAGGTCGTAGTTGCAGAAAGGGCGGCAAAGACGTGTCAAAAAGCGTCATGCACTCGCACAGTTGTTGTCGGTTTTCTTATCAAATATTAATACAGTTGTCGCCATCGTCGTCTGCTGATAGAAGCTTTTCAGGACCTACCTTCTTTGATGTAGAAAACTGGGTACTGCTTCCTGAAAACAATAAAGACTTTTTCTGCAACTTGCTAGTATGTTCAGCGATGATGTCTTCCAGAGGACGGTCCCCTTTGGTCTGCAAGAGAAATATAATCTACATTGTTAGCTCGTGAGAATGACAAAATGTAAGTTAAAACTGGCTCATTAGGCCCAGTTAGTATTTGCTCTTGGAAAAGGTGGAGCGAACAAAAACCAGCAGGTGCTACTTTTAGCACCAATTACTGCCCGCGTAGCAAGCTTTACTTTTCATGAAATAAATTAATACTGATTCCTATAATTATTCATTTGACGGTTTGAACACACTCTACCTATTGAAATATATCGTATGACGCATCATCTTAATTATAACATCCATTAATATAAACCAAATATGTGTTTAATCAATATCTGACGTCTCAGTTATTAATATTTAACCGAAGAACTCTCTCTTGTTTCTGGAAGGGTAATAATTTGTAAAGGGAGCATTCAATTGACAATAAAAAAAGTTCGTAAATAATAATAAAAAAGGCCCCGCCCGCTCTCTCTCTCTCACGCTTGGCCTTGGCCTTACATGTAAGCTAAAAGTAGATGGAAGCGATTTTCAACTAGGGCAAGACTAACGCAATACCCAAATATATTTGGAACTTCGATGAACACAGGCTCTTATTTTAAGGTAAGAAAGACTGAGTATTGTGCAGGTCCATTTTCTGGCATTTGGCTCATTGTGCAACAGTACTAGATTGCATTAAAATTGGACACAGTATTTTATGGTTCAAATTGCCGGTTAATTGACGTTACATGGAACCGCCTCTTCTCAGTTTAGGAAGTTACCGTATAACGCTCTTACCAGTTTTGGTCGGATCACTTTGAAGGAAGTTTGAATTCAAATTAATGTTTCATTCTCGTTGCAGAGACCTTGTCTATTGGGTTCTTTGGAACGCGGTTTGCGGTAAAAAAATAACAAACTACATGTAGTTTGCTTGAAACCTTAGGTGGGACAAGATCTTTGAAAGATGAATACAGCGCCAGCACCTTCCCTATAACCAACACGTTTAATTTCTTTCAAAAAGAGTAACAAGTTCAATTAAGTGGTACACTGTAGACGAATCGACAGTAAGCGAATAACTAGTTATAAAATGTTTCGGCAAAATTCGTTACCAGACTATCAAGAAACTCTTCGTTTTCTTTCTTCTTGTTATTTTTCTCTTGTTTCTCTAATAAGGCTGCTTGGGCCCGGCGAAGCTCTGCTTGTTTTTGTTCTTCCTCAATTTGGGAAAAAACGATAGCTTCTTCTCTCCCCTGACAAAACAAAGATAGTAAAAGAAAAAAGTAAGCAATGCAACCCTGGAGTTGCCTATATCCGTTGTAGCAAGGAAATGACGCGGATGGCGGCAAATAGCGTGGCTAAGGTCACGTGTATATGAAGAAATGTTTCCCCAGGTAGAGGGTTCACCCACCTACCTAAGCTACAGAGTACCCTGGGCGAGCCATACATTTCCGTTACAAAACTTGGCGGACTGTTCACAATAGAAATACAAAGTTGGTTCAGCAGGGTCACGCTTTTGTGGGTTGGGTCACCCTCCTAACTGGGCCAACGTTTCTTCATATACAGCGATGTCGAGAAAAAATGTGCACGCGACAATTCCCTAAGGTAATATGGGATATGATCAATGCTCTGTTCCTGACACTGTATCTGTTGAACCTACTTTTGTTGCTTTCCTTTAGCACTCGCAAACGTATGTCCATGGCCTCTCGTGTCATTCTTTCAAATTTCTTTGAAGAACAGTAAATTCAAAACCAACCACCATAGCTTTCGGGATTGTCGCGTGCACCTTTTCCCACCACCTATCTCGAAATAGCTGTAAACACTTTGGCTTACCTAGGTAGGTCGCCTCGGGCAAAATAGAGAGCATTTTCCTCATATCACTAAAGTTGACTCAGCTGGGAGTGTAGCCCTTCTCAGTACACGGGACAGGTTTTCTCCATATAAACGCGGCCTAAGGCGCAAGTTAATAATACAGCGAGAACCATAAGATAAAAACAGTGCGCGGGTTTCAGGTGAATAATGCGAGTTACGGGTAAGTAGTGTGGGGCGCAGGTAAAGAGTACAGGTCGCGGGTAAATAGTGCGGGTCTCGAGCTGCGGATTGTGAGTAAGTGGATGAGATTAAAGGTGGGTGAAAAGAAATTGGTTAAACTTACCAGCTTAAAATTATTTTTCCTTATTAGATTTTCATTGTCTTTCTTGTATTTCTCTACTTGTTTCTTTGTCTCCTCAACATCTTCTCCATTTGCGAGATTCCAAACTTCAAACGAAAGGAAAAAAGTCGCATGATATACCGCTACTCAACTATTGTCTATAATGCCGGCATACAACTTACTACAAGAACTACACGTACAGGATCCATCTCATTGCATGCCAAGTTATTTTCGTTCACAATAAATACAAATCCCTGTTCAACAATTGAATTGTGATATGGTTGAGATGTCTGACTGTTAAAGTATACATACATGCTAGACTAGTCTGACTAGTATAAAAACGGTAAAATGACAGAGACATTTAACGTCGGACGACTTTAACGTCTTCTGCTAAGCGTGTCCTTTAGTCGCACTCAACAGACGACTTTAATGTCTCAGTAGTTAAAAGTGTGTAGTATACAAGTGGGACGCCATTAACTGGGACTTAAGGCCAACTCGACCAGAAACGAGTTGGAAGAGTCAGAGTTAATTAGTTTGTCTTTTTTTTTAGAAAACTCCCGCGTTTTTTCAATGTTCTCATCTACTTTTATGCGCCAAGTTTTTACAGCAGATCACTCTAGCGTTATTAGCATAAAAACGACCAATATTGATATTTTTCTCTCATCACAAAAATAATGCATGCCATCCAGAAAGGAAACAATCATGTCTCTATTAACATTATATTCATACTTATAGTCTCTACTTCCTCCAGGTAGTCATTGTAGGCTTTTAGGGGATCAGTGGCTGTCTGGAAATCCTCCTCAAGCTTGTTATAACTAGTAACAAGTAAGCAAAATAACATGGTGCTTGTATATTAAGCTGCAATGACAAAATAAGAGTTGATATGTACACGCAACTGCACTGAGAATACTGTACTGAACTATATTTTCCAACATTTTGATTTTACGATTGGAAATTATTAATTTTACAACACTTTCATGATTTAAGAGACTCTGGAAAAACTAGACACTCTCTTTTCCCAGTTATTTACAACTTCAAATTTCAGTAAAACCCTCAAATTATTAATTAATTGATAGTGTGTGTACCAACTCTCGATCCTGATCCTGATAAAAATGTATAGTCTGAGTATAATTTGTTTTTCAGCATAATTATAAAATATTATTACTAGTAATAACCAAAGGTCACCGAGTGCGGGCGACAACGATCGAAGGTCAAAACGCTTTTGCTCCAGCGCTGTGCTTTGCGGACGTTTCACATGACAGATGGTCAAAACACGCGTGATCAGATTACGAGTGATAGAAGGTCCAAACGCGCGTGATCAATGTGCGTTCTGTGCATTCCATACATTCTTAGTGGAAGTCCAATCTTACGCTGGCTATATACATGCGACGCATGCGTAATAACAACCTGGAGATTAGGACTGTGGGCTCCTCCTGTCGCCCGCAATTATTTTCACACTTAATGATTGAAAGAATTGACATATTTCTTACATCTTCAAAATCTTTTTCCTTATGTCCACCTCCTTCTCGACAATAAGATCTTCAAATTGTTGAATTCTAAAGTCATTTCGCCTTAGAGCTGTGTTGCACTCTGGGCATGCTGCTGATGGCCGTGTGAAAAGGGTCTCTACACAGCTTTCACACCTATCAGAACAAAACAGGGGACAAAATTACTATTATCATTATGATAATGGAAACAAACAAAAAAAACACATGAAGAAAGACGCATCAGAGAGAAACTACCAAATCTTTTGAGATTTTTATACTTTTAACTAGAGCTTATTTTTATCTTAAAATTGTTTTACCTTCTGTTACCTATGGTTTATGCCTATCATGGGGTTTTTGCAAAAAAACCGGCTTAAAGGAGCTAGAAAAGAATCATGTTCTTGCTACCAAGATTATTTGATTACTTGGTTTAATAAACAACTCAAAACACTCATTTGGAAACAGCCATTTGGAAGCTCAAGCAAATTGGTTCTTATTAAATAATCTCTAAGAACTAAAGTTATTAGCTCATAGCAGAGCTCTCTATCACACGAAGCGCTCGCAGCAAAGCACCATGGCAAGAAATAGTATGGAATAATAGTATGGAACAGTGTGGGACAGTGTGGAACAGTATGGTAAAACAGTGGAACTGTGTGGTGGAACAGTGGAACAGTGTGGAACAATGTGGTGGAACATTGGGACAGTGTGGAACATTGTGGAACAGTATTGTGTGTAAGATCCAAGTGTAACATTTTTCCTATTATTCGTTCTTGCGTAATTTGTTTTTCCTTTGCGTACGCAAATTAGTTTACACTTCTTTTCGTCCTTTTGTTTAGTCTTTTTTTTTGCGTTAATTTAGGTGTTTATTCCTTTTTGTCAGTTTTCGCGCCCTCGTTAGCGTTTCTTTGTTGTTTCATCTTCATTAGCGCCTTTCTAAGTTTCTATAGTTTTATTTTCCGCATGTTCTAGCGTATTATTCATATATCGTAATTTTGCAGTACAGTTTGGGCAGTTCATTTTTGGTTCGCGCTTAGCGCAGTTCTGGTTTAGTTCTTGCTAGTCCCTAGCTTCGCGTTATTCGCAGTCCGCTTCAGCAGTTTTCTCTGGTCGAAACAATGTAAGTGTATTTCACAGTCCTCGTTTTGCAGTTTTGTTATTTCTTTACTCTTATTTACTTTAGTCGCAACTTGTAACTTTTTTACTCTTTTACCGTTTTAGTTTCAACCCACGCTGTTTGTATGTGCACTCAATAAATCTTCTTTCTTATTTGGTTCGTGGCGTTGTCATTAAGGCCAAGAGACTTTACGCTTTTGCAGTTTCATCGTTGAAAATTGTTGGTGACATGTCGTTTCGTCATGAGGTTTAGCCGCAAACAGCTTACAGATCCCGTCGCCCGGCGAGTTGGAACACGCGTACGACAACCAAACCGTTCGCTGGATTTTGAAGCGTCTAACCTGGAAACACTTCGTTTAAAGAAATTCAAGTTCTGGTCACCTATCTACCGTAACCGCCATTTCCAATGAAATTTCTGGCTTGCTTACTGGTAATCATAATCTTCAGGAGGTTAAAGAGAAGCTTCCTTACTTCGACAACGCCTTTGAAAGATTTAAAGAGGCCCATCGCGATTACGTCGAAGAAATTCTGGATGAGGACGCCATTATTGAGGGTCAACGCTATCTTGAAGACAAAGAGAGAAAGGTTCGTGTGTTCCGTCAGGAGATCGTCGATTGGATAATTAACATTGAACACAAGTTGTTAGCAGAATCGCTTCAAGTAGATTCGGCAGTGAATCCCGAGGATTCAATTAGTTGTGCTGGCACACCAATTCCTTCAGGTGCTTCCAAGGTTTCAAAACATTCAAGTCGAGCAAGTTCACGTGGTGGTCGTGCTTCATCAGTTGCAGCCGCGAGAGCCAAAGAAGCCGCAAGAATTGCCGAGTTAAAAGCTGAAATTTCTATGCTCGAAAAGCGCCAAACACTCGAAGAGAAAAAGTTTCGTTTACAGCAGGAAGAATTACGCCTTAACCTCGAAGCCGAAATGGTCAAGACAACAGCTAAGGAGAGGGTCTACGCAGCAATGACCTCCCCTTCTCTACCGGAGGTGAAGCCTTTAAAATTGGAGACAGAGCTCCAGGATCAGGATCCCCCTCGTACCAGCCCCCGCGCGAAAAGGTCTTTTCCAGGCGAGGTGCATCACCCAGGCCAGGGGGTGTCCATGGATTCTGTTCCTTACGGCCAGTTTGATTATCAAGCGTGTACAGTCGGCGAGGATCTGAGAAAGGAAACGATTGGTTTGCAGCGGCAACAGACTGCTCTTCAGTTTCAGCAGAATAGAATAGCGGAATTGCTAGCGCATAATCAGAATAGGAACAAACTTCCGCAGCCCCGTGTTCCTGTGTTTGACGGAAACCCTATTGAGTACCGCACCTTCGTTCGCGCTTTTGAAAATTTGGTTGAATCCAGAACATTTAGCAGTACTGATAGACTCTATTACCTTGAGCAGTTCACCGCAAGGGACGTTAAGGAACTTGTAAGATCCTGTCATCATTTACCAGCGGAAGAAGGTTATGACGAGGCTCGTAGGCTTTTGAGAAGGAAGTATGGTGACGATTATCGCATAGCATCCGCTTACGAGACGAAGGCCCTGGACTGGCCGAGCATAAAGGCAGAAGATGGTGTGGCTTTGAATCGTTTTTCAGTCTTTCTCGCAAGTTGCAAGAACGCATTGGCAGGTAGCCAGTACATTTCTAAGTTTGATCAGCCAGCAAACATTCAAAAGTTGGTGCTCAAGATTCCTTACAGCATGAGAGAAAGATGGCGTCGCTTAGCTGATGACATCATGGACAGACAGTTAAGGCCAGTACAGTTCAGTGACTTCGTTGCCTTTGTTGATCGCGAAGCAAGAATACTAACCAACCCAGTCTTTGGCAAGATATCCGATACCGTAAGATCGGCGCCTGGTCAGCGGTCCTCTGGTGGCAGGACATCCAATCCCAAGAATCTCAGTCTCTTAACACATGTAGGCGATAGTGAAGGTCATACCAGTGAAACGGTTCCGCAGGGTGTAAAGGAGCCAAGTCGACGCGCCGATGGAGAGCAGAGACCTCAGACTCGTAAGGTTCAGCCATCTGGAATCGATCAGGACCCCTCACAAGGGAGAAATCGGTGTCTCTATTGTAGCAGAAACCACGCCCTTGAGGATTGTCAGTCATTGCGGTGGAAACCCTACCAAGAGAGAATTCAATTCCTGTTGTCCAAAAAGCTGTGCTTTGGATGTTTATCCACCGAACACGTCGCAAAGTTTTGCCCGCAGAGGAAAAATTGCAAGATTGCGAACTGTAAAGGTCGGCATCCTGCTGTTTTACATACAAGCCCTCGTGAGAGACCAGCTGTCGACGTTGGAGTGGGTACGGAAGACGTAATCAGCACTCAAGTTTGTAGTCACATGGTAAAAACGGGCACCAGTGCCAACAGTGAGACTTCAGGAGAGGGTCGTAGGACAGGCATGGCCATAATACCAGTCAGAGTAAGAGCGAAAGATAGTCATAAGAGCGTCATCACCTGCGCCTTCTTGGATAACGGAAGTAACTCCAGTTTCTGTACTGAATCGCTAATGAAGCAGCTCGGGATTAATGGTCAGCAAGTTAAGATATCCCTGTCTACTCTTGAGAAGAAAAACAGCATCACCAACAGCTTCCTGGTTCGCGATCTTCTTGTATCCGATTTGGACGAGAACGAGTGGATTAGCCTCCCGACCCTTTACACCAGGCCGGAGATTCCTGTGTCCAGCAGCGACATTCCAACTCAGGACGACGTTGATCAGTGGCCCCACTTGCAAGGAGTTTTTCTGCCTCGTCTCAACGCTGAGGTTGGCCTTTTGATTGCTAGTGACGTTCCCAGGGCTCTCGATCCACTTGATGTCAAACACAGTCAAGACGGTGGTCCTTATGCTTCAAGAACTCGAATCGGCTGGGCGGTAAATGGTCCCTTAGGCCGTCGTCACCATAGTTCACGGTCATCCACTTTTGTTGCTAAAGTCGATCACCGGCTCCAACAGATGATAGAAGACTTCTACAATCGCGATTTTACCGATCCCACCGTTGATAGCAAGACAGAGATGTCTCAAGACGAACGTAGATTTATGCAAATCGCCGAACAGACGGTGGAGTTGACAAACGGGCATTATCAAATCTCTTTACCGTTTAAGGATCGCCAAACGCCTGTACCTAGCAACAAGGCTCAGGCCTGGCAGCGCGCCATTTGGTTGAAGAAAAGGCTGGAAAGAGACCCGAAGTTGTACCAAGATTATAAGGCCTTTATGGAAGACATTCTCTCCAAAGGATATGCACGCAAAGTGTCCCCTGATCAGAAGAGCCCCGCGAAGGGCACCGCCTGGTACATACCGCACCATGGTGTTTACCACCCTCGCAAGCCAGGGAAGATCCGCGTCGTGTTTGACTGTTCGGCCAAATTTATGGGAAAGTCTCTCAATGACATGCTGTACAAGGGCCCGGACCTAACCAGTTCGCTTGTAGGAGTCCTGTTGAGGTTTCGTGAAGAGAAAGTGGCCGTTATGGCGGACATAGAGTCCATGTTCCACCAAGTGAGAGTTCCCGATCCTGACAGTTCCTTTCTGCGTTTTCTTTGGTGGCAGGATGGCAACATGGCGAGCGAATTACAAGAATATCAGATGGTCGTTCACTTATTTGGAGCCATTTCATCACCGGCTTGCGCAAATCTCGCACTCCGCAAGACAGCAGAAGATAACCGTCACAGTTTCCCTCCTGACGTCATTAACACAGTCAAAAGAAACTTTTATGTTGACGATTGTTTGAAGTCCCTCCCTGGCGAGCAGAAAGCCGTTGAGCATGTTGGCAGTTTATGCACTTTACTATCACGTGGTGGTTTCAAGCTAACCAAATGGGTCAGCAATAGCCGTGGTGTTCTGCAAGCCATCGCTGAGAAGGAGCGAGCAAAGGACATCAAGGACATGGACATAAGGAAGGACGAATTGCCTGTTCAGCGAGCCCTAGGAGTTCAATGGTGTGTAGAATCCGACTCGTTCCGCTTCAAAGTCAACATTAGCTCCCGTCCACCAACGCGTAGGGGTATCTTGTCTCTAGCGAGTGCTCTAGCGAGTGCCGTTCGTTCTGACCGCGAAGGAAATCCTTCAAGATCTTTGTCGCATTAAGCTAGGATGGGATGACGAGATCCCGACTGAGTACGCTGCACGTTGGGAAAATTGGCTAGCAGATGTTCCAAAGCTCTCGGAGTTTGCTGTGAGTCGCTGTTTAAAGCCAGAGGATTTTGGTCCCGTTTAATCCAGTCAGCTGCATCACTTCTCTGATGCATCAGAAGCTGCTTATGGTTCAGTGACTTACCTTCGACTGGTTAGCCATGAGGACCGAGTTCATTGTTCCTTCCTGTTTGGAAAATCACGCGTTGCTCCTTTGAAAGCTATTTCTATTCCTCGTTTAGAGCTCTCGGCCGCAACCGTTTCTGTGCGACAAGACAAGATGCTCAAGGAAGAGCTGGAGATGCCTCCTAATTGCGAATCCGTGTTTTGGTCAGACAGCATGTCAGTGCTTCGTTATGTGAAGAACGAAAGTACGCGGTTCCACTCGTTTGTTGCCAATCGGGTTGCCGTGCTACGAGAGGGCTCAAGTCCAGATCAATGGCGCTATGTGGAAGGTGTAGCGAATCCTGGAGATTGCGCTTCAAGAGCGTTGACTGCCAATGCATTGTTGAGCTGCCAAAGATGGTTACTGGGGCCGGAGTTTCTCTGGAAGTCAGAAGAAGATTGGCCTAGGAACCCCTCATCACTTGAATGTCTTCAAGACGGAGACCCGGAAGTGAAATGGTTTATAAGGTTTGTCACGCCTCTGTTTCCGAGTCGGAGCATCCTTTGGTTGAGTGCTTTCAACGCGCGTCTTCCTGGCACCGATTGAAGAAGTCAGTTGCATGGTTTTTACGGTACCGTGGAAACTTGCAAAGGTTAAGTAAACGCGGAAAATCGAGAGAGCCGATCCATTCAACTCCCATCCTTTTTTTACCACCAATTACCGTTACGGAGTTGGAGATCGCGGAGCTAATTTTCCGGATGAGCTTGAGCTGTTAAGCAAGTCTGAAAACGGTACGCAAGTCAAGAAAAGCAGCAGCCTTCGAAGTCTGGATCCAATCTTAGTGAACGGCGTCTTACGTGTCGGTGGGAGGTTAAGTTTAGCGTCCACTGCATTTGAGGCCAAACATCAGATTATTTTGCCCAAGAAGGATCACGTGACCAACCTTGTAGTAGAATATTACCACCAGATCTCCGGTCACTCTGGAAGAGAGTACGTTATCAGTCTTGCGCGCGAGAAGTTTTGGATCGTAAACGCAAGTTCTGTTGTCAGGAAAGTTCTTTCGAAATGTTTTAGTTGCCGGCGGCGTCAAGGCCCGTTCTGTGAGCAGAAAATGGCTGACCTTCCCGTGGATCGTGTTACCCCAGGTCAGACACCTTTTACATCTGTCGGCATTGATTGTTTTGGTCCTCTTCAGGTACGCCGTGGGCGAAGTCTTGTGAAAAGATATGGGGTCATTTTCACGTGTCTTTCTATCCGCGCAGTACACATTGAAGTGGCGTACAGTTTGGAAACTGATTCTTTCCTGATGGCGCTCAGACGGTTTATAGCAAGGAGGGGCCAGGTAAAGGAGATCAGATCCGATAATGGCACCAATTTCACCGGCGGAGAGAGGGAGCTCAGGGAATCCATCAACGCATGGAATCTCAACAAGATTCACGAAGCTCTACTTCAGAAGGGGGATCAAGTGGAACTTCAATCCCCCCTATGGCTCCCATTATGGAGGTGTTTGGGAGCGCTGCATTCGAACAACGCGCAAGGTCCTTCGAGCTTTGCTTCAAACTCAAGCTGTTGACGACGAAGGTTTAGTCACCCTCCTATGCGAAGTGGAAAGCATTATTAATGGTCGTCCAATCACCACTGCTTCAGGTGACCCCAATGATCCGGAGCCCCTTCCACCAAACCATTTGCTTCTTTTACGCTCGGAGCCTCAGATGCCCCCTGGGTTATTCCATAAGGAAGACTCCTTCTCTCGACGCAGATGGAGACAAGTGCAATATCTCGCAGATATCTTTTGGAAGAGATGGTCTAAGGAGTACTTGCCTCTGCTCCAAAGTAGGCAGAAATGGACGACGATTCGCAGGAACCTGGCCGTTGGGGATATTGTTCTAGTGAGCGCGGAAAATTCCCCTCGCAATTCATGGCCCCTTGGTAGAGTGGTAGAAGTCTTCGCCGACAAGAAAGGTTTGGTGCGCCGTACCAGGGTGAAAGTAAAAGGAGCAGTTTTGGAGAGGCCAATTGACAAACTTTGCTTGCTGATAGAAGCTTGAACTTTCCCTTTGGAGTTATTTTCTGTGCAATTTTCTGAATTCAGGAGAAGAGAACATTAAGAACTCTTAGAAAGACACTTAGATCTTTAATTGTTTAATTTAAGTGCCTCGCGTGTGCTCCTCACTTATGGGGCCGGTATGTAAGATCCAAGTGTAACATTTTTCCCATTATTCGTTCTTGTGTAATTTGTTTTTCCTTTGCGTACGCAAATTAGTTTACACTTCTTTTCGTCCTTTTGTTTAGTCTTTTTTTTTGCGTTAATTTAGGTGTTTATTCCTTTTTGTCAGTTTTCGCGCCCTCGTTAGCGTTTCTTTGTTGTTTCATCTTCATTAGCGCCTTTCTAAGTTTCTATAGTTTTATTTTCCGCATGTTCTAGCGTATTTTTCATATATCGTAATTTTGCAGTACAGTTTGGGCAGTTCATTTTTGGTTCGCGCTTAGCGCAGTTCTGTTTTAGTTCTTGCTAGTCCCTAGCTTCGCGTTATTCGCAGTCCGCTTCAGCAGTTTTCTCTGGCCGAAACAATGTAAGTGTATTTCACAGTCCTCGTTTTGCAGTTTTGTTATTTCTTTACTCTTATTTACTTTAGTCGCAACTTGTAACTTTTTTACTCTTTTACCGTTTTAGTTTCAACCCACGCCGTTTGTATGTGCACTCAATAAATCTTCATTCTTATTTGGTTCGTGGCGTTGTCATTAAGGCCAAGAGACTTTACGCTTTTGCAGTTTCATTGTGGAACAGTACGGTGGAACAGTGTGGAACAGTAAGGTAGAAGAGTGGAACAGGAACAGTACGGTAAAACTGTGGAACAGTACAGTGGAACAGTGTGGAACAGCGGAACAGTGTGGCAAAGTGTGGTGGAACCAGAGCGGATAAAGGTTGGGCGGTGAAACGAGCGCGTCCGAGCAAAAAGGTGTCATGCAGTGGACTGGGATCAAATTAGGAGTTGCTGATTAAAATGGCTCCTCTAGTTTCTTCCATGACCGACGCGAAGCAAAACCTCATCCATGGAAAAAGTATTAAAAGACAGCGGATGGCGTTTCTTAACTACATGACGTGTATTTGATAAGTACGAGCAACTCGTACAAGGTTAATTGTGCTTAATTAATTGAAATCAACATCACGCTTCCCTTTATGTTCACAAAACATCTCATACGTCTTTCTGTTTCTTCGGAACTTCATAATTAGTTTTCCCCACTTTTTACTGCTTACTTTGTTTTGTTTTCGAGAGGAAAACGAAGAAAATCTGGCTTACAATTAACTTTCGATAAATTTTGTTAACATGCGGTTGCCGGATTTGCGACGCATTGCACGAATCGCCATGGCGCGTTGCAACCGAGAAGGAAAGTTTAAAGTAGGTACAACGCCACTTTATCTAAATATATCCAGCTAATTTTTCGTTATGTTATATACAATTTATCCCCCTTTAACATCTGCAAAAATTAAGTTTGAGAAGTGTTAAGCTTTTATAAATAAAACGGCCAAGGACGATTAGGTCATATTTAGTGGAAGGAGGAGGCATTCGATACTTTCAAATTAAACTCAAATTTTGGCGTTATACGACCAACAAGTTTCACTTATAGGCATACACACATAAACACATGAAACTGCTTTGTTTAATACTGTTATGAAACGAATTTACGTATTTAATATTGTTAGCCTGAAATTACAGAAAGAAAATAGAGTGCTAGTTTGACCGCACAACCTTTATCCGCCCTGGGTGGAACAGTGGAGAAGTGTGGTCGAACATTGTGGAACAGTATAGTGGAACAGTTTTGAACAGTATGGTGGAACAGTGTGGAAAAAGGCCGGTGGAAGAGTGGGACAGTGAAACAGTGTGGTGGAACAATAGACCAGTGGAACAGTGTAGAACAGTGTGGAAGAGAATGGTGAAACAGCGGGACATTGTGGAAAAGTGTGGTGAAACAGTGTGAAACTGTATGGTGAAATAGTGGAACAGTGTAAAAAAGTGAAAAAGTGTGGTGGAACAACTGAAAAGTGGAACAGTGTGGAAAAGTATGGAACAATATGGCGGAACAGGGGAACAGTGTGGCGTACGGCAGTCTGATGGAAAAGTGGAATAGTATGGTGGAACGATGAAACAGTGTGGAACAATGTGATGGAACAATGTGGAACAGTAAAACAGTGTGGCACAGTCGTAGAACAATGTAACAGTATGGTGGAAACAGTGTGGAACAGTATGGTCCAGTGTGGTGCGACAGTGGAACAGCATGAAACAATGTGGTGGAACAGTGTGGAACAGTATGGTGGAACAGTGGAACAGTGTAAAATAATGTGGTGGAACAGTAGAACAGTGTGGAAGAGTGTGGTAGAACAGGAAGGTGGTACAGTGGAGCAGTGTGGTCGAACAGTGTGGTGGAACAGTGGGACAGTGGAACAGTGTGGTGGAACAATGGAACAGTGTGGAAGAACAGTGTAGAACACTATGGAACAGTATGGTGGAACAGTGGATCAGTGTGGCCCAGTGTGGTGGAACAGTGCAACAGTGTGGAACAAAGTGGTGGATCAGTGAAACAGTATGGTGGATCAGTGAACCAGAGTGGCACAGTATGGTGGAACAATGGAACAGTGAAACAGTGTGGCACAGTGTGGTGGAACAGTGTAGAACAGTATGGTGAAACAGTGTGGAACAGTATGGTGGGACAGTGTGGAACAGTATGGTGGAACAGTGTGGGACAGTGTGGAACGGTATGGACCAGTGTGGTCCACAAGTGGAACAGTGTGGAACAATGTGGTAGAACAGTGTGGCACCGTGAGGTGGAAAAGAGTGGAACAGCATGGTGGAACAGTGGAACAGTGTGGCACAATGTGGCACAGTGTGGTGGAACAGTGTGGAACAATATGGTGGACAAGTGGAACAGTGTGGTGGAACAGTGTGAAACGGTATGGTAGAACAGTGGAACGGTGTGGTGGAACAGTATGGTGGAACAGTAGAACAGTGTGGAACAGCAAGGTGGAACAGTGGAACAGAAGAGTGTGGTGGACACTGTGGGATGGCATGGTGGAACAGTGTGGTGGAACAGTGGCACAGTATAGTGGAACACTGTAATCCAGTTTGGTGGAACAGTGGAACAATGTGGTGGAAAAGTGTGGAACGGCATTGTGGAACAATGGAACAGTGTAGTGGAAAAGTGTGGAACGGCATGGTGGAACAATGGAACAATGTGGTGGAACGGTGGAACAGTATGGTGGAACAGTGAAACAGTCTGGTGGAACAGTGGAACGGTGTGGTGGAACAGTGCGGTGGAACAGTGGAACAGTAGTGAAACAGTGTGGAACAGTGTGGAGGAACACAGCAACAGTGGAACATTGTGGTGGAAATTTGAAAGTGTGTTGTGGAAAAGTGGAACAGTGTGGTGGAAGAGAGGAGCAGTGTGGACAGTGTGGTGGAACACTGAGAGAGTGGAACACTATGGTGGAACAGTGGAACAGTGTGATAGAACACTGTGGAACAGCATGGTGGAACAGTGTGGCACAGTTTGGTAGAACAGTGTCGAACGGTATGGTGGAGCAGTGGAACAGTGGAACAGTGAAACAGAATGGTGAAACAGTGTGGCACAATGTGGAACAGTGCGGAATGGTATGGTGAAACAGCATGGTAGCAAAGTGTGGCACAGTTTAATGGAACAGTGTGGAACAGTATGGTGGAACTGTGAAACAGTGTGGTGGAACAGTGTGAAATGGAATGGTGGAACAGTGAAATGGTGTGGTGCAACAGTAGAACAGCAGAGTGGGATAGTGTAACAGCATGGTGGAACAGTGGAATAGTGTGGTGGAACAGTGGAACAGTAAGGTGGAACAGTGTGGAACAGCATGGTGGAACAGTGTGGCACAATGTGGCACAGTGTGGTGGAACAGTGTGGAACGGTATGGTGGAACATTGGAACGGTGTTGTGGAACAATAGAACAGTATGCTGGAACAGTGGAACAGTATGGTGGAACAGTGAAACAGTATGGTTGAACAGTGTGAAATGGTATGGTGGAACACTGGAACAATATGGTGGAACACTGGAACAGTGAGGTGGAACAGTGTGGAACAGCATGGTGGAACAGTGGAACAGCATGGCAGAGTGTGGTGGAACAGTGTGGAATGGTATGGTGGAAAAGTGGAACAGTGTGGTGGAACAGTGTGGAATGGTATGGTATAACAGTGTGGAACGCTGTGGTGGAACAGTGGATCAGTGTGGTGGAACAGTGTGGAACAGTGGAACAGTATGGGGGAACAGTGTGGAACAGCACGATGGAACAGTGTGGTGGAACAGTGTGGAGCAGTATGGTGGAACAGTGGTGGAACAGTGTGGAACGGTATGGTGAAACATTGGAACAGTGTGGTGGAACAGTAGAACAGTATGGTGGAACAGTGGAATGGTATGGTGGAACAGTGTAACAGGGGAACAGTGTGGTGGAACAGTGTGGAACAGCGTGGTTGAAGAGTGTGGCACAGTGTGGTGGAACAGTGTGGAATGGTATGGTGAAACAGTGGAACAGTGTGGAACAGCGTGGTGGAACAGTGGAACAGTGTGGCAGAGTGTGGTGGAACAGTGTGGAACAGTATGGTGGAACAGTGAAACAGTGTGGTAGAACAGTGAAATGGGATGGTGGAAGACTTGAACAATACGGTGGAACAGTGGAACATTGTGGTGGAACAGTGAGGAATGGTATGGTGGAACAGTGTGGAACGGTATGGTGGAACAGTGAAACAGTGTGGTGGAACAGTGTGGAAGAGTGTGGTGGAACAGAGCAACAGTGGAACAGTGTGAGCGGTGTGAGACAGTGTGGTGGAACATTGGAACAGTGTTGTGGAACAGTGGAACAGTGTGGGAGAAGAGAGGAGCAGTGTGGAACAGTGTGGTGGAACAGTGTGGAACGGTATGGTGGAACAGTGTGGAATGGTATGGTGGAAGAGTGTGGAATGGTATGGTGGAACAGTATGGAACGGTATGTTGGAACAGTGGGACAGTGTGGTGGAAAAGTGTGGAAGAGTGTGGTGGAACAGAGCAACAGTGGAACAGTGTGATCAGTGTGGGACACTGTGGTGGAACATTGGAACAGTGTTGTGGAACAGTGGAACAGTGTGGCGGAAGAGAGGAGCAGTGTGAAACAGTGTGGTGGAACAGTGTGGAACGGTATGGTGGAACAGTGGGGAATGGTATGATGGAAAAGTGTGGAACAGTATGTTGGAACAGTGGGACAGTGTGGTGGAAGAGTGTGGAAGAGTGTGGTGGAACAGAGCAACAGTGGAACAGTGTGGTGGAACAGTGTGAGCGGTGTGAGACAGTGTGGTGGAACAATGGAACAGTATGTTGTAACAGTGGAACAGTGTGGTGGAACAGTGTGGGAGAACAGTGTGGAACAGTATGGAACAGTGGAACAGTATGGGGGAACAGTGTGGATGGAACAGTGTGGTCAAACAGTGTGGAACAGTATGGTGGAACAGTGTGGAACAGTATGTTGTAACAGTGGAACAGTGAGGTGGAACAGTGTGGAAGAACAGTGTGGAACAGTATGGAACAGTGGAACAGTATGGGGGAACAGTGTGGAACAGCATGGTGGAACAGTGTGGCACAATGTGGTACAGTGTGGCGGAACAGTGTGGAACAGTGTGGTGGAACAGTGGAACAGTGTGGTGGAACAGTGTGTAACGGTATGGTGGAACATTGGAATGGTGTGGTGGAAAAGTAGAACAGTATGGCGGAACAGTGGAACAGTATGGTGGAATAGTGTAACAGTATGGTGGAACAATGTGGAATGGTATGGTGGAACAGTGGAACAGTGTGGAACAGTGTGGTGGAACAGTGGAATAGTGTGACAGAGTGTGGTGGTACAGTGTGGAACAGTATGGTGGAACAGTGAAACAGTGTGGTAGAACAGTGTGAAATGGTATGGTGGAACACTGGAACAATATGGTGGATCAGTGTAACAGTGTGGTGGAACAGTGTGGAACAGCATGGTGGAATAGTAGAGGAGCGTGGCACAGTGTGGTGGAACAGTGTAGACCGGTATGGTGGAACAGAGCAACAGTGGAACAGTGTGGTGCAACAGTGTGAGCGGTGTGCGACAGTGTGGTGGAACATTGGAGCAGTGTTGTGGAACAGTGGAACTGTGTGGTGGAAGAGAGGAGCAGTGTGGAACAGTGTGGTGGAACATTGGAAAAGTATGGTGGAACAGAGGAACAGTGTGGTCAAACAGTGTGGAACAATATGGTGGAACAGTGTGGAACAGTATTTTGGAACAGTGGAACAGTGGAACAGTTTGGTGGAACAGTGTTGCTGAACAGTGTGGAGGAACAATGTGAGCAGTGTGGTCGAACAGTGTGGTGGAATAGCGGAACAATATGGTGGAACAAAGGAACAGTGTGATTGAACAGTGTGATCAGTGTGGAGCAGTGTTGTGGAACAGAGGAACAGTGTGGTGGTACATTGGAACAGTATGGTAGAATAGTGGAACAGTATGTTGGAACAGAAGAACAGTATGATGGAACAGTCTGAGCAGTGTGGAAGAGTATGCTGGAACGGTGGCACAGTATATGATATATGGAACAGTGGAACGGTGTAAAGAGTGTAGAACAGAGTGGTGCTGTCAAGTCTTAAAAGAGGTGACTCACTGACTTATCGAAGCATGGATACTCTGCAATTTGCCTCCCCTTATACGACAACACTGTGTTGATATTTTTGAGGGCTGAGACCCTTTCCCCTTTGGTAATACTTTGAGTTTACATAAATAGATCTCAAGAGACTAAACGCATAATTAATTTTGGCAATGTTAGATCTCCATGAATCAAGAAAACCTTTACATTAAAATGAAAGAAACTAAGCTGGAATCCTATATTCTTTTCTTTTGGTTTAGGAGTATACTTTCTCAGCCAATTGTATCGACCCCGACAGAATATTTTATGACTTGAGGACTTACAGTTTGTGTCCGCAAACATTCACCAGCAACTTCAATTTCGGATTACGGTACTTGGTCGTCTTACATCGTGGGCAAATTTGCCAGTCGTCCATATTGAATACGATTCATTGAGCTAGAAAACTACTAAATCAGACATGACTAGACAGCTGTTTCTTCGAGAAATCAACAAACAAACAGACGACCCCCAAATTTTCACGTGTTTTTTTCTCAACTAGAAGGATATATCGTTTAGTATCGCGGGCTCAATAATGCGTTATAACAAGCTTTCTGATTGGTGGTCTGTAATAGTACAGATATTCCTATTGGTCAGTTCTTGTAGAGGCCCTTGTCGGCTGCAGCAAGGATGAAAACAGTGCAATGGCGCCGGATTCGTGAATAAATCGCCACATTGTTGGTGATAAATATCGAAAAAGAAGAGCTCCGTGCAAGATGGGGGACATAAGCCTTGATATGATACAGGAATTTTTCAGCCTCAAGCCGCTTACCAAAACCAACACATTAACACCCGCAAAAATAAGCGGACGTTGGAACGTTCCAACTCAAACCAATGCTTTTCAACAGGAGTTTAAATTACCAAAGAAGACGAATCCACAGAGGTAGGATATGAACATACTTTCCTTCTGTTTGGTTTTCTATGGCTTACTTTTTCAACACCTTGAATTACGGATGTCGGCGAAGCGCTGCAAACACTGTAAACAAGGATATAATTCATGTACTTTGCCAGGTCTACGTATTTGCGGGCGACAAGAGGAGCCGGCAATCCTAATCTCCAGGCCCCGGTTGTTCAAACGTCGGATAGCGCTATCCACCGGATAAATCACTATCCAGCGGATAGCGTAATTGATTTCCATAACACTTATCCGCTGGATAGTGATTTAGCTAGTGGATAGCGCTATCCAACGTTTGAACAACCGGGGCCAGGCCAACAGGTTATTGTTCCAGAACAAAAGTTAAGAGCCCTCTCATATCTTAAGAAGGTTTTTTGCAACCTGGCCCAGGGGTGAGCCTTTGCAGCTTTTCGACTAGCTGAAGGCCTGGCTGACTTTCATTTCGGGGGCACCTAACGAGAAAGTAGTTCAAAACCACTTAAACATAGCATTGTTAAACGCATTTTAGTATTTAAACGGTAGATATAGGAATATTTTTATCCCCTAAAAGTTTTTCATCTGTTCAGATTTCCTAGCTGAAAGTCTAGTGATCCAAAAATTATAGGGATCAAAACTGACCCTTTTGAAAATTTCAGCCAGATAAAAGGCCTCCCGAAAATTCTAGGTGACCTTTTAAGGGTAAAAATCTGTTAAAAATGGGCAATTATACCATTTTTTAAATGTTCGAAAATCCTAGGAGAGGCAGGCAAGCAAGAAATTTTACAACAAATGTCCCGAAAATTCTAGATCTGAAATCGTCTTCCGAACAGACGTTGGGCGCCCCTGTCATTTCCACATATCCTGAAAATTGCACACATGACTAGTACAGACTGACCTCACCAACACTTTGAGTTCTTAAGCTTTTTAGCTTACCCCAACAACGCATTATTTTCTAACTTGTGGATTACACGTAGCATAAGGAGCAAGTTAATGTGGGCACTGCAATATGCAAATGTGTCACTCAGATATAGATGTGTTGGCTCCACATGAAAGCGCCTGATATCAAAACAACAACTGCTGTAGATTGTTCCCATTTCTTGATGTGCTGATTTTGTACATTTCACGGTCTTCATGTGGACTTTGAATGTTTCAGTTTAGGGCTATGGCCAACTTTGAGACATGTACAGAAGTTTATGAACTTTTGAAGATTTTTGACTCGTCCAGGTGATAAATATGATGAAAAGATCGGCAATTACTTTTCGACTCCCAGGCTGGTCCAAGCTCACAATTCTGCCGTGAGTCTCCGGATTTTTTAACTTTTCTCACGACAAGACTCCCAGTCTCATGGTTTTTAGTGAAATATAATTCTGAAATGAAATGTTTCTTTTTTCAATAAAAACGGAAATATTTGCTGTTGCTGAATCATAATTGATTCTCCTCATGTAAACGCTGCAAGAGAGTTCGCGACGGTTTTGCAAGACACTTGTTGGCCATAATGTTCTTCAAATGTGACGAAATGAGTTAAAGTACTGCTTTAACTGTCAAAACCATGCTTGTTTTCCTTGAATATATCTTTCATTTCTTCTTAAGTAAAGCCCTACCAGCTTCAAACAGTGTCGACCAGCAGAATTTCATGGGCAAAAGTGTTAAAAATGATTAATTTAACAGCAGTTTGTATTATCAGTTGTCATGGCGCAATAGGTAACCAGTTGACCTTTCACGTCAGAGGTGTGGGGTCCAACTCTTGCCATTTGAAACTTTTTTTTCTTTTTTTGATCCTTTTGTTTTGTTTTGTTTTGCTTTTTTGTAAACCATATTTTCATTTTTTGACAGACTTAAAAATTAATATACCGGTAGAGTAATAATTATTGCAGGTTCATTATGAGCTTTCATTTCTAAAATACAGTAATTTATTAATCATCCACAAGTTAGCCTTAGACACCCTTCGATTTTCCAAGCGGTAGAGTGATAAAACCAAAAATTTGTAGGCCCAGGCCTACAGGTCTATGGGCTGGCTACGCCCCTGCAGGTTGTTATTACGCATGTGTCGCAAGTGTGTAGCCAGCTTTTGTTTGGACTTGTGCTAAGAATGAATGGAATGTACAGATGGCAATTTGATCGCAAGTGTCTCGTCCTTCTACCCTCGGAATCTGATCATGCGTGATTTGTCCATCTGTCATGTGAAACCCACTCAAAGCACAGCGATGGAGCAAAAGCATTTGAACCTCTGATCGATGTCACCCACACTTGCTAACCTTTGGTTATTACTACATGTAGTTCTATGTATGATTGCAAATTTAGCCAGGCACGAACAGTGTACATGTGTGAGGATTGTTCATAGTTTTCAAAATATTTTGGAATAAAACCAAAATATGACTGTTTATTTCTCTTTGGATTTCTTGTGTTACTTAAATATTTAGGGGCAAGATGTTGTTCAGAGTTGTTTATATCCAATATCAATTTAGCTTCTTATTCCAACAGATTGATGATTGATCATAAAAAATAACAATAAGGTTCTAAAATTTTTCACTGTTATGAAAGATCATTCGGTTGGTGTGGGATGTCTTATCCCACAGATGTATATTTCTTTTTCTCTTTTCTGTACTCCAATATCCAAGGATTTGTTTAAATTCCTAGAATCCAACATCAATGTATTTTCAGGAAATAATAACCTCTTCATCCTGCACTCCCATCTCACCATGGGAAGGGAAAAAAATGATTAGCAGTCATGTGGAAGGTATAATTAGCAATTATTGAATGGGGCTGAGTTCCTAGGATATGAAGGATTCTGCAGATCGAGGAGGATGTTATCCACTGAGGCTGAGGGCTGAGGTGGATAACATCCTCTGAGATGTACGTAATTCTTCACATCATATGACAGCCGAATTCAATAATTGTTTTATTATTCATTCAAAATATTTCTAAGTTCTTAATGTACGATGTGTGTTCTTACTAAGCTTACCTTCCCATAGACTTTCTTCAAACTTTGGCCTATTTCTCATCACGGTTTCAGGATATAAATGGATGTTATTCCTTGCAGATACTCCTCAAAAATGTATATAACATTATACATGTATGTTTTGCGTATTATTGCATTTCTTCTACTCAGTTTTTTAGAAATTTGGCTAAAACGTCTTCGCATAGCCTTAAATGCTCTTCTTTTTTAGTTCACTCCGGAATAGCTAGTAGGCCACGCCAAAAAATGAGGTTGATCGATAGTACTTGTATGTATATCATAATAAACCATCAAATATGGTAGCACCAGTTGGTTAAGAAGAATTTGCTGGGGGATTGGAGCCAATCAGAAATGGCAAATATTTTGAATGAAGAATAATAATTTCAAATGATTATTTTGTGCTGAAAAAAAACTTTTCCAGTTAGTGGAGGGTGGTGGAGATACCTTGTTTTTTAAGTCATGACCAGAGACATGCAAGTGACACAACATGATTGGTCTTTTAAGTCTCTCATGAATATTAATGATGGAATTCTGTAGAACCTAGTTATTTGTATTGGAGAGATTAAAAGAGAAATGTTTAATCCCTCTTAGAGAAGATGAGTATAGTGTACTTCAGTGTAGTTTTTTTTTATCATTAAATAGCTGCATGATTTGCTTGGATACACTGCATTTCGTAGACGTAATTATGCTGATTTTTTTGTGCACATACATGACTTTGTTTGTACTATATTTTTTTAAGTCCTCCACCATCCCCTGCGTATGTTGGAGGTTACTGTTCCACTGGCCCCAAACTTGAAGACCTGTATGATGAGATGGACGAATTTGAAACCAATCCGCCTCCAGGTGCTGCTGATGAAATACCTGCCGCTTTGAGAGAGGAAGAGGATGCTCATATATTTGAGAATTACTCATTTGATCACACATACTCCCCTGACCTTCCCATCACGTCTTATCGGCAACAAATTGTGGACACCATTGAGAGTAATTCTGTTACTATTATACAGGGTGAGTTATTAGAGCAACAATAATATTGCTTCTTATAAATGTAAGGTTAACTACAAGTATCTGTCAGACTACTGTCTTTTTCTTAAGGTACAGCTGAATGCACAGATTTGAATACAGTCCACTCTCTCTTAATGGACATCCCTATAAGACAGACACCTCGGTAAAATAGTATCTCTGACAGGATCCTGATAGGATAGAACATGATCCTAACAGTATCTTTTACAGTATCCTGACAGGATGGAACAGGATCGTAACAGTTTCTCCTACAGGATCCTGATATGATAGAACTGAATCCCAACAGTATCTATTATAGGATCCTGATAGATTATAATTATTATAATTATTCATGTAGGATTGTAACAGTATCTCTTACAGGATCCTGTTAGGACAGAACAGGATCCTAACAGAGTCTCTTACAGGATCCTAATAGGATAGAACAGAATCCTAACAGTATCTTATATAAGATCCTGTTAGGATAGAACAGGATCCTAACAGGATAAAACAGGATCCTAACAGTATCTCTTACAATTTCCTGATAGAACAGAACAGGATCCTAACAGTATCTCTTACACGATCCTGATAAGATTGCACAGGATCCTAACAGTATCTCTTTCAGGATTCTGATAGGATAGAACAGGATCTCAACAGTACAATGTATCTCTTACAGCATCCTGACAGGATAGAACAGGATAATAATTATTAATACTCTTTAAATAGGATCCTGGTAGATGTAATAATTTTACTGCAGGGTTCCATTGAAAAATAGACGTGCAATGTGGGCTCCGTGTCAAAAAATCTCGCCTGTTTTTGTTGATCCTACAATTTTTGTATTTTACATCTATTACAATGCTGTTCACATTACATTTGTAAGTATTAAAATCTTTTTTAATGTTATTTAGGAGCTACAGGTAGCGGCAAAACCACACAAGTTCCTCAATACATCCTGGATGAGTATGCCAAAGATCAGAGGTATTGCAATATCATTGTCACTCAGCCCAGGCGAATTGCTGCAATAAGCATTTCCAAGCGAGTTTGCCAGGAAAGAGGGTGGACACAGGGAAGCTTGGTAGGGTACCAGGTTGGCAGAGACTCGTGTGTCAGTGAGGACACACGCTTGTCTTATGTAACAACTGGTACACTGCTGCAGAAGTTGATTCATTCCAAGAACATGAATCAGTACACTCATGTCATTCTGGATGAGGTAAGAATGGGTTGTTGACAGACTGATACATCGCAAATTTTCTGTCTCTTAATAATTATGATCAGTGTGCCAAGACAGTTGTGTCTGATAGCCTGGGTCTAGTGGATTGTGCTGTCGTGCTATTGAATTCACAGGTAACCCGGGTTCTGTGATAGTACCACAGGATGATTCCAGTAAATTTACAGCATTTGTGTGGAGTAAAAATACAATGCTTGAATTTGTGGAAAATTTTAATAAAAAATTCAGTGAAACTTACATACATCTGTTTACTCTGCATGCGCAGTTTGTTGTTGTTCTCCTTAATGCTCACACAAAGTTTTGCGATAATTTGCTCAAACTCACACTTGTACAGGTTTTCATTATGACTTGTGCTTTTACATGTAGGTTCATGAACGAGACAGAGATACTGACTTCTGTATGCTGGTTGTGAAAAAGTTGCTTCGAACCAACTCTAAGCATGTCAAGGTATCTGCTGGTACTTAACAAATAGATTCCATGTTGCTTTGCCTTTGTTCATTAATAGATCAGAGGTGGCTGTACTTAATGCCGAGGTAGCCATAAGGCAGGGTTCCACTGTGTGTAAATAGCTCAATTTTTTCCTCGGAATTCTGAATGTATTTTTTTTTTTGTTAAATGCTTTTACGGGCAACTTACCATCTGATTGCATGAGTATTTGGGTTGAGAACTCATACTCTGTAGTTGCAATCGATCTCATACTTATATAATAGTCCAATATACTGCTTTTAAGGTTCATATTGTGTTTATCACAGGTGGTCCTCATGTCAGCCACCATTGAAAGCGACCTGTTCTCTATGTACTTTGCTGTGCCTGTCAGGGGTAGAGTGGAGGGTGCTCCTGTTATCACCGTGGAGGGAAAGTCCTTTCCTGTGGTGGAATGTTATCTTGATGACCTATACGAGTTAACTGGAGTGAGTACATTAACTGTCAACCTCAACTTTTTGTTTGAATTCACAAATGCATTGTAAATTACAAAATGTACGAGGAATCGCTAGGACTGGCCTGCAGTTAGCAAGGCTAGTCAAGGCAGGTCAGGCTACATAATTGTACACAAACTGAAGAGATACATGTCATTTAAAGAATAGACATTTTTAATATATATTTTACATTAGCAAAATCCAACTAGTGGTCTATCATCAATGCTGCATTCTGGTCGGTTGAGCTACTACTAGGCCCATTAGTAGCGAAAAGTGCCGGCTTTGAAAACTGAAACAATTGTGGCTGAATCGTGTTTTGCTAGCTAAAGTTGTTTTATCTCAATATTTTTGACCATCTAGTTGGATTTTACTAAAAGGATTATTCTTCTTGCCCTCTTGGCCTCTGAGTCAATAGCCCATTAAGCCTTCAGCCTCTTGAGCTATTGGCTCAGAGCCCATTCAGGCTCAAGGAATAATGAATAGTTAAAAATACAAGTACTATTCAACCTAAATACAGGGAATAAAATGATGAAATTTTAAATATAAAGGACAAAAGAAAGTTACATTTTTCTTCTTCAGAATAATCTTGAACGTCCATGTCAATATAGGTGTCTTCAGTTTGAAGGATATCAAGTAACGTTTCTTTTAATGATCTTTTTACTGGTACATACACGTGCATACATCAACACGTTCAGACTCGGGCACATCTTTTTCTGTTCATGTTCAGTACAATATTATTCTTGGAACCAAGATTTACTTGTGATGGTAATAGCATAAAATTATTGAATTTTGCTCGTTTTTGCTTGATTTTGTGTTACCTAGATTTTTTTTACCCAGGAGCCTGTTTAACCTACAGTAATTGCCCCACACATTAGAGTTTTCATGATCAGAGTCTCCAAGGGCCTTATTCCAATTGGACACTCTGCATACTGTACACTTAATCTAGTGTGTTATTCCAATAATTTTCCTGCAGATGATACCTGAAGTTAAAGCTGATGAACCCTGTATTACAAAGGAGGGATATCAGCTGGTGGCAGAACTTATCCAACACCTGGATGAGGTAGAGGCAGAATCTGCAAAGAGGTGAGAGTAAAACAGTACTGTTATTACAGGTATACAGATGTACAAACACCAGTGAAATACAATGTACTACACACTTTACACTGTAGGTGAGGTTTTGACTAAACAATGAGTTTACCCGATAAGATCATTGTTGCTATGGTCACATAATAAACTGTGCCACGAAAAAAATATTGAAATGAAATGATTTGTGATTATTTCATTAGCATTATCAAACATTACATTGGCAGTATTGTCGAGGGGATACAAAATTTCTTCTCTCATGTTGAAATGTAAAATCTTATGTACAGTATTTCACTTGTTCACTGTGCTCACTCCTGAAATATTTTTCAACAACGGAAGAGAAATAAATATTGCGTATCTCCAAATTGTCACTGAAATAATGTCTTCCACTGGTGGAGTCTCTTTTAAACCTAAAATGAATCCACAGACTTCACCCGTACGAACGACGCAACGCTGCCGCAGCTGCAGCAGTTCACTTTTATGGTTGCACAGCGCTTAAGCGTCTGTAAAGCAGTGCTCGTGAATCGCTAAAGCAGAGAACGTCACATTTCGTGCACTGCGAAAGCGCTGCAAAATTTTGCCACGGTAAAGCAGCGGTAAAGCAACGCTGCGGGCCGCTGCTTAAAAGCTGCAATGAGACTTAGATATAAACATTGAAACCACTCCATATGACAACCTGAATACAAGCGACGCTTGAGGCTGCATTATCGCTGCACAACGCTGCAGATACCAAATAAGAACTTAAAGATCTTCAAAATTAAAACCCTGGAGAGCAAACCCATACGAAACTTGCAGCGCTGTACGGCGCCACAAAATAGCTGTACAGCTAAATTACAGCTGTTTAGCAGCATTTTAGAAGCCAAACAACAGCTTAATCCAAGTTGCAGCGGGATGCAAAAGCGCTGGTGCTGCCTTTGAAGCTCTCGGCAGCAGTTTTGCAGCGCAGTTGCCGACTTTCAATAGCTGCAGTACCGCTACAATTCAGCTATGCTGGATCTGATAGCACAACGTTCTTGAGCGCTCATAACATGAACCGCCAGAAAAGCCTTTTGCCACAGATTACGGCTTTCATAACGAGAAAACTTTGACTGTACCTCTAAGAAATGTGAGTAAGCTTGTACGCAGGGAAGATCACTTATTGAATAAACCTCCAAATTCTATGCTTTTGGAATAAAGATTTCAATAAATTTTATTCCGTGACTGGCGAGTGTGGGAATGTTATCGCTAATTCCCTGGAGACATTCTAGGCTGTAATCTAATTGGTCGGCACTTTTGCATCAGATCACATTACATCGCTAGACAAACATTTGCGACCGTTGAAAGAAAGGCGCAAACATTCATACATTGTAAGTGTTTAGCATCTAGTTCAGTGTTTCGAGGTGGAAGTTCTGTTGATGTTTTTGGATGGAACAGCTCAAAGGTATGTAGAACAATCGCTCTTATTCTCTTTATTTTAAAAAAAGATAAACTTCAATGTCGGCATGTTAATGGATGTTCTTACATTTAGATGAGTGACCGTGATTGCTGAATATTTACAAAGCGAGACTGTCGTAGATTTTTTATATGTCACCTGCTTTTGTAACGTGTACGCGTGAATACTAATAAAGTATCAGTTGCATTTTGTATTTCTTGTGGTTTTTACTCCGCTACTATAAGGCCTCTTGTCAACTCCTTTACCATGTCTCATGATTATTGTATTGTTGAAGTCTGCATTTCTTTTTTTTGTACAACTGTTCTTGGCAGCGCTTCACTAACGCTGCACAGCGCTGCATAAAAGCTGTTTATCGACCGTATGGCCTCGTGTGGCTATTTTTTTGCGTCTTTACGGCAGCTCTCCTGCAGCTCTCAGTGTCGCTACCGCAGCGTTCACGCAGTCACAAAAATGCACTGCTGCAGCGAACGGAAAACAGCGTTCGTGCAACCTTTCTGCAGCGCTCGTTGCAGCGCTAATAAGTCGCTAAAGCAGCGCTGTTTTAACGTCTTCTGTATCGTACGGGCAGTCACAGTGTATACTGGGGTCTTAAAATTATTACAAAATATTGCACCTTTAATAGTAACATGTACTTATGCCATTAAAGGCAATTTAAAATTTATGTCCCCTTACTGATTATAGTATAATTATTATGAACTTGGCGCTAAGACCCTGGAAATTGACTCAACAGCGTTTTCTTTGATTCTTTTGAAATTTAAACATTAATTTTGGCCCCAAATTTTCTCTTTAAACTCTTTTCATTGTGTGGCATTTTGGACAAAAAAGTTAATGCAAATCTTCTACACTGAGGTGAATGCATCATCTGATTTAAGATACCATTGATTACATGTACTCCTTTGTGATTTTTTCACAGTTTAAGACAGCCAGTGGAACGTGGAACAGTCCTTGTGTTTCTTCCTGGTGATTATAAACTACATATGTATTTTATAGTGTGGACAAAGCAGTATTCAATTTCCAAACCTAAGCGCTCTGCCTTACCAGCACACAGTGTATGTCTGGTGATGACCAACGCTTTGACTCTGGCAAAGGAGAAAAATCTTTGTAAAACATATCTGCTGAGAATTGTGAATTTTAAGGATTCAGAGTTTTAGGCTCCCTACAAATGTTTAAACAACAACCACCTGGACCCTTCTTCACTCAAGCAACTTTCTTATTATAATAAAAATGTTACACCATTATGCCAAATTGTGAATTGAATTGAATTCCGTCTGAACTCAGACAGCATTCCCCCCTTCAGCTCTAAACTACTTATAATTAATTTTCCCAGTTTTCAAGTACTGTGGTTTAATGTGGTTCCTTTTTACTTTAAGGTGAATTTGAAATCAAGCAGATGGATACATTGTTAGATGAAATGCTATTGGAGTGCCAGTATGTACCTTTAAGTTATTTCCTAAAATTAATGCTTTTTTTTCCTGATACAGTTATTCCAAAATTCTCATTCCATTTTTGTGCCTTGTTTAATGCAGGCTTTTGCTTCTCCCACTGCATTCCAAAATTACTACTCACGAACAAGGAAATGTTTTTAAGAAACCCGAGGAAGGATTCCGAAAGGTATGTAAGAACACAGCACATACAGTACGAAATCATTTCCAAAATCTCTGATCTGTAGGCTTTACAGTAACACATAGCATTATCTATTATTTTACATTTCGTAGCAAAAAAATATAAATTTTACATGTACCTAATATTTTTATATCAAGCATGAGATGCATTGTTTTGTCATCAGATGAAGCACCGAGAAGAGAGTTGAAAATATGATGCGCAGTGGAAGTATTTTTGATGAATTTCGAGGTGTTTCATCTGGAGGTGAAACACTGTGTCAAGTGCTTGATATTACTTCTCAAACAAAATGATTTTAGAAAGAGAAATAAGGACACAAAAATGAGCAGTTTTTCATCTGGTTTCCAAACACTCATTAAACATTAATTTACTTGCATGTTTTGCTGGTTATACTTGCAGGTCATCTTGGCAACAAACATTGCTGAAAGTTCAATCACAGTTCCAGACATCAAATATGGTGAGTGCACATTTTACCCCACAAAGCCACAACTCTGCTACTGTATGAACAGGACCCTCAATATTTATCGGGACAAATATTTTTGTAAAAAAAAAATAACTAGGACTGAGCTTTAAAACTTGAATTTGCACATTTCAGTTGGAACCTCTCAGATTTTCCTTTCCCCAATCTCAGTTTGCTTTAAAAGGTGTTTGTACATGTAAAGATGACTTACTGTCTTGATCTGCCAATGTACACATGTCTACTTGTAGGTTTTGAGTTACAAATGTGGCTGCACTGCAGGCTACAGTGTAGAACCTTTACAGCTGAATTTTTATCAGGGTCAATGTCTATTTTTACTTTTCCATCCATTTCAGTCATTGATTTTTGCTTGGTTAAGTGTCAAGTCTGTGATGAAGAGACAAATTTTCAGAGTTTAAGGCTGCAGTGGTCATCCAAAGCAAGTAGCACTCAACGCAAAGGTTTGCTCCCAACACTTATATTGTGCTATTAGATATTTTGTTTTCCTCTATGTCAAACTAACTTTAACCCTTGATAAAACTAACTGAGAATCCAACAACAATGGATTGTTTAATCCACCTTTATTTGTCTACTTTTGAGCAACCCCTTCTCATATCATAATTCTAGTATCTACTCTATTAAGAACCTGTACAGTGTTCGTAACGAGTAGGGTTATTAACTTACTTGTTTTCTTTGCTGTGCATATATGCAGGTCGAGCAGGTCGAGTTTCCCCTGGAACGTGCTACAGAATAGTACCAAGAGATTTTTATGAAGAATTCATCCCTGAATTTGGTATTCCAGAAATGCAGGTCAGTGCACCATCGACACTTGAGCGAGTGACATAATTATTTGCATATTGCAATCTACCGTAATCCTCGGTATCCACGAGTTTGTGGCGTTTGTCAGGCTGTTCTCCATTCACTCACAGCATGAATAATGCCTTTTGTGTCTGTAAACGAAATACTACATGTAGCCATTCAAATGAGACTACCTCAGCGGTACTCTACAAACTGTAAAGACTGAAAAAGTTATCTTGGAGTGTGACGGTTCAAATTAAATATCTTTCCTAGTACTTTGTTTTTTAACTTTTTTCAAAGAGAAATATTTTATTATATAGAAATTTTATTCTATTTTAATGTTAACAACTTCCAGGAATGAAAGGGTTCATTTCAAAGTTTTTTTTTTTCAGAGGTGCCCTCTTGAGCAGATTGTTTTGAAAGTAAAGCTGTTTGATATTGGACCTCCCAAGGCTGTACTGAGACTTGCTTTACAGCCTCCCGACCCTGACGATATTGAAAGGACAGTGCTTCTATTGAAACAGGTAAAAAGAAAAAAAACTCTTAAGTGCTGCCATTTAACCGACCTGGAAGCAGAGCCACTTTTTGTCTTTTTATGAGTAAGGAGGAGAAAAATGGTCACCAAAGCCTGAATTTTTTGGACTAGTGAATCTTGCTCTTTGTTATCAAACTGGTTTTCCGAGAGCAGGGTGCAAAGAAAATCATTTTTACAGCTAGCCATTCAAGCAAGCTGAAGCTAGCATTTACTAGCCCAGACGTCATTTCAACTAGCCCCAAAAGCTTTTTGACTAGCAGAATTGATTTCACAGTTCTTCTGTTAATTCCTCAAAAAACATCACTTGCCCTTCCGGCAAGTTAAAAACATAATTCACTAGCCTGATAACAAATCCACTAGCCCCGGGCTATCGGACACTACTTTCTTTGCACACTGCGAGAGGGAGCATCCACTATATATGTTGATAAACTAATGGTCATGACTAAGACCAGCTGTTAGGCGAGAGTTTAAAACAAAGATATTTATGCTTGATTTAGGCATAGTCCTTTTTGACTACAGCAAAATCGAGCAAATGAAAGAATTCAGACTCTGCTGGCAGGGTGCATGATACAGTCTAGTGTAAAGAGTATGAAGTAGCATTTTGGTGCGACTTTTCACTTGACACGAGCAGTGATTTTTGTGTTTACCAGGTAGATTAGCAGTTAGCCTGCGTAGCAGGTGCTTGGAAGTAGTGGGCACCAGAGAGAACGGGCGTGTGCGAGGTAGACACGCGTGTCTCCTTCTTGCACGCCCGTTTTTTCTTGCACCTGCTATGCAGGCTAATTAGCAGTGGTTTTGTGAAATGCAAGGTAATAAAGTATTGAAAAATGTTTAGAATTGTTGCTTAATACAGTCAGTGAAGAAGATATTGCTGTTTCTCTTGGGAGTTGATTCAACACTGCTAATTTATGGCATTGTTGGTTCAACTAGTCTTGAATCAACCCATGCATGACAAGTGATTATTTCGAACAAGGAGCATCAAATTATGCCTGTAGGCTGGGTACAAATTTTTCTGTTCACCCAATTCTTTTAGTCCGCTTGTGTACTTGCCAGTTACTCTGGTGCATAGTTGAATGATGGGTTGGGTTGGTCTTGGTTGCAAATTACATTGTAATTCTCAAAGCCTGGACATTGGTTTCAGAGCCTGGCCTGTACAGTGATGTGTTGAAAGTTGGTTTTGACGTTATTTTTGTTATCGTAGTTTTAAAAACAGAGGGGCAAGAACATCAGCCAGATTCTAATATGAGTGTCTGGACTGCTAGTTTTTTGTGGTCTGTTTTCCAGTCCTTTTTCCAACAAGTTTTACACAGTCAAACCCAGTCAATACGGAGACAGATTAACAGGGTGTCTGTATTAAGAGGGTTGAATTTAGAGAAAATGTATTAATAAAGGGTTTGTTTTCTCCAAGGACAAAGCAAACTGTCTGTAATAATGAGGTGTCTGTAAAGCGGGGTTTACTTATTTTAAACCATTTTTTTGAAGGTTGGAGCCTTGACAATTTACATGAAGAATGGTGTAATCAACCCGTGGGATGGAGAGCTGACATTTATAGGCAAAGTTTTGGGGGAATTGCCAGTTGATGTCCACCTTGGAAAGCTTTTGGTGTTGGGATATGTGTTTGGCTGTCTTGAGGAGTGCCTGGTTATCAGTAAGTGTTATTTAAAACCCCTTTACCCCTGAAGCCCTGTAACCGCGCATTTACATAATTATGTAGTCCTAGAACTGCTTGAAACATTCATGAGTTTTAAAGACAGCTTTGACATTCAACTTAAATGTTCAGCGGGGAGGTTATTCAAATCATGCCTGAATGACCATGAGTCAGCTAAGCAGGTTGGTGCAAAATGAAAAACACATGACGTATAGTTGAATTGGAAATTCCAGTAGAAATCTGCTACCCACTTGCACTTTATTCCATCTAATCCTACGATCATCCCTTGCATTTTTCCTAAAAACTTTTCCCAGACAAGTGAAGCCTAGTATGTGCACAGCGAAGGAAAGAATGTGGGTCAAGGATAGTGGAAGAATTTGTGGGGGGAGTAGAGAAAGAAAACAGAAGCTGATATTTAGCATCAGGAACAGAAATCTGCAAAGTGCTTGACATATAAACAGCGATCTGACCAGTTTTGGTTCGTTTTGCCCAGACAGCAACAGAAAATGGCCTGATAGCTCAAGTGACCCAACATAATAAATCTAAAACCCTTAACACTGATTTTTATGAGAGATCACCCCTAGCTGGAGAGGAAAGATAAATGAATCAGAACTGCATCAAAGTTCTTAGTCTGTCGATCATGGTGTCATGTCTGAATTGTGCTTGACTCACCTTGCTCTATGCTACTCATGTGAAAACAACAACAGCAACAAGAATAACTTTATTCTTTGTAAACAGGAGTTGGATAGTTTGCCAGTCTTGGCGGGGCAAGACAGTTACACGAATAACATAACAATAACCTTAAACTATTACAAAGCTTTGCAGATTGCAACTTTAAAAAAAAACACGTTTTCTTGGCTTTGTTGATTCTTTGTCAGGTCGTCAGAAACTTTCTGTAGTGTATTTTTTAATTCTTCAATTTCATTACGCAAAGCTTGATTTTCCTTTCGTACAATGTAGTTTGTTGTCACGCATCATACTGAAAGGTTTTAGAATAGGTAGGTTCAAGATAAAAGAAGAATTCGTGAATTAAGATCGGAGCACACAAAATACGTCTGCACAGTGCACACGCTGCTCCTTGTTCCCTGTGACCTCACAGCAGTCCTGTGCCACAATTGATTGTCACTTTTCGTTTCTTTTCCTTTTTTCGTTTAGGTGCGTCACTGTCATTGCAGTCCTTTTTCAGTAAGCCCTTCAGGAAAGAGTTCAAGTTTTACATGTAAGAATCATTTTCACAGTTTCTAACTCTCATAAACTCCTCCCCTTGGGATTATTTTCCAATTTTAAGAGGATGTGCGACTTACGTTAAACCGAAGTTCCCAATTCTGTAACCCTCTCATTCCTGGGGTTTAAAATGCAGGGTTTTGTGATGAAATCGCCGGGATCCCTGTTGGTTAGGAGTGGTTGGACTGAAGAAATTACTTTAACACTGGCTTTGATGCTGGTGATATCTCTATTAATGATAAAATGAAACTTCACAAAGAATTTCAAATATCTTTTTTTAAAAAATCCCACGAAAATGGTACTGCTATGTAAAAGCTCTATCCAGGAGGTTTAAACTGAAGGGTAACACCATAGGATCTCAGCCACAGATCTGATGGGAAGTTAGAATGATGAATCGTGTCACCATAACTTGGGGATATAAAACAAGCCCACACCTATCGACAGTTGTTGATAGGTTCAGCTTTGTTTTGTTTAAGTTTAAACTGAGTATATTTTGGTCTACTTTTCTTTTTAGGAAGAAGATGGGTTGGAGTGATTACTCACACAGCGACTGTATTACTGTTCTTAATGCCTACAAGGTAATGAACACTTTAACAATGCTAAGAAGAAAAACGGCAAACTGATCCTTATGAAAGAAGACTAAAAAAAATAATTGATAATAATAATAATCATAATAATAATAATAATAATAATAATAATAATAATAATTATAATTATAATTATTATTATTATTTATGTATTTTTATTTCAGTCCTCTTGCAGTGTGGATCATTTACTATTACCTTGTAATACTCCTGATCATTTCTAATCCAGTTCTATGGAGATAGATAGATAGATAGCTTTATTAAAAATCCATTGCAGCCCAAGGGCTGGATTACGGACTGTACAATACGTTGAATACTAAGACTAACTATTATAAATCAATAATTGTAAATAAATAAAACAAAGGAACAAAGATACTACGTCATGAAATTTAAGAAAATAGCCGCGAATTTACAATAAAACCATTAGAAAATAGCCGCGTTATGCATGATAAAACTATTCATTAGTCTATTTGTTCTACAAAGAGGCACGTTAAAAGCGCGCTTTCTCCTTAAGGCTACAGTACTAAGATTACGTGGCGGCAAAAGGCCATGTAATTTGTGGAGGCTGTTGTCCTTAATCTCATTGAATAGGCGCTCTGTCAGCCATTGGCGCCGTTGATGGAGGGTGGTAATATTTCACTCTTTGAGAGCCTCTTGATAGCCTAAATCTGGGAAAATAATTCTAAGTGCACGGCGCTGAATTTTCTCTAGCTCTTCAGAGAGATACTCAGGCAGACCATTGTGGAAAACTTGGCAGGCATATTCAGAAATGGGCCGGATACACGTAGTATAGAAACAAAGTAGCTGCGCAGGATCTCCTTTTGCACGCTTAAGCTGCCTTAATAGATATAGCCTAGAGGCTCCTTTTTTGATAACATTCTCTATGTGAGCGTTCCACTTTAGATTGTTTGAAATTGTGAGACCAAGAAGTTTTGCGCTAGTTACAACCTCAATTGGTTTGTTGTTAATAGTAACTGCTTCGAAAGGATCTACAGACCTTGAGAGACTTGCAAGACCTGGCACTCCTTATTGGTTTGTCAGTGTGGCTTTGACTTTTCACTGAACACCCCTTTTAACAGTCAGCAAAGTATATTAAAAAAAATTTAATTGAAAGCTGATCTTTATCAATAAAACAAAACTGTTGAAAAAAAAAAAGAACTGAACTGTTCTGCTCCCTTTACGCATCCATAAATGTCCGGCTTATGTTCAGCTTTCCTTAGTCTCTCTTGCACCAAAGGACATGTAATTCTTTGTCGTACATTTTCTTATTAACTAGTACTTTTAAATTACAGGAATGGAACATGCTGAAAAGAAGAAAAGGATTCTTAAGGGTAAGTTGCATTCCTTTTCAAGTTACTTTGAAGGCTTGCTTAACGTAACAGTTAGAGTACAGAGGCTGTCTGATACTTCAAGACTTCCACAGCAGGAAACAGAGCCTGGTTTCGCATACACAAGGCTTTTTTTTCTTTCCCAAGCTTTTTTCCTCCTTATTCTCACGAGTCACTATTCTAGATCTCTGTCACTTAATATGAGTTTTCTTTGTATTTTGAAAATGAACAGTTTGGCAACTGTCCAATAGTTAAAGGTGTAAAAATTCTGGACCTTATTAATGAGGAGTACTTTAGTGAATGGCCAGACAGGCTTGACACGACACTTGACAGTCATACGCATCTTAACTTTAGGTAAAGTAGAGTATTATGAACTCTCCGTATACGGTTCATCAGTAACAGAACTTAATGGCGTGTAGCGTTTTTTATGTCGCTGTTACAAGCCCAGATTGTACACCTTTAAGAAAGCTGCAGCAGAGAACTTTCCCAACGACAGGATAAACCAGTTTTTAAAAAGGCTTTAAACTAGAGCCTCCTTTTACACAACCTCTTCGAAGGCCAGAAACTTCACACTTAAGACAACAAATTAGAATAAATACTGAACGTTGTAAATCGTCTTTTGTTTGTATCATTTATTTGCGGTTCATTATTAATTAATGTTTTTAGTAGATCCCATTTATTTGCAACGCATTAAAGCTATATGCTGTATTCACCAGGGAGAACAAAATTGGTGTAAAGAGAACTTTATTATCATAGGACGCATTAGAGAGGTACAGTAGATATATGCCCCACCCCCCACCCCTTTCCCAAGAAACAAACATACAAACAAAACCTCGAAAATTATCAGAGCCACACAGGACTTTGCACACAAGTTTTCCTTGCCGTCGAGGCGTCCATGATCTCTCTTTGTATAAATATGGTTAATTGTTCTTTCTTGCGGCCTCAAATGGTCTTCCTGACGAAATGCCTCCATGAGAGGGCCGGACGTTTCTGTACACGTTTCACAACGTTGCTGTGGACGTTTCTGACGTTTCTGGCCGGACGATTTTTGTAATTTGTAACAAATTACAATTTGCAAAATTTGTTTGACAATCTCCTGAACAAAAAGAACTTTTCTTTTAGGCATTTGTCCATTTTAGGGACCATTTTGTTGTTTGTCCATTAAGATCTGTATATCACAAAGAACAAAACAGTTGAGCAACAAGCCTGTAAACTGGTTTTTCATTGATTTTTTTTTTACCCGTTCATTACTTGTGATGCTCCAAACAAAACTTACGTTAGCATCTCGTCATTTTAATAAATTGTTGTTACTAAATAAAACTTATTTGCTAAAGTTGGTGCTGACTTGAACATTCTTTGACGTCTGTGAATGACATATGCGGGCGTTTGAATTTACAGGTGGAACAGCTTGTTACAGAATTAACTAACAGGCTGAAAGGTTTTAACATCATCTCAACGAAACCTCTGCATCAGAAGTAAGTTTGAGTTGTATTACAGAATTATGTACCAGAATTGACTCCCTACTTTAGTCTTACAAAAGCAATAGAAAAAAAGAACCCAACATATTGTGAATTGTTACTTCAAAAGTTAGAAACACATCACATCTTAATTGACTCACCCTTGTACTTATGATTATTATTTTTTTTTCAGGAATATCACCTCCCCTGAAAACATGCGAATCCTAAAGGTCAGTTTAGTCTCTAGCAGTTAAGTAACAAATAGATAATTTTAAAGGAGCTGTGTCACATATTTTCACTTTAAGCGCTCGAAGCGGTCATATGGATACCAACGTTTAGAGTCTAACATAATTATTATTTGGGCGTCGCCCAAATAGAGTAAAAAGTTGCCTTCTGTCACGTTCGAACCGTAAACGGGGAAAAGTCCATTTGTCCAACATCTTCACGTGCAAACTGTGTGCGTGACACTTATTTTTAAAACCCTCGGCTTAATTAGATCAAGCCGATTTCTCTCATACACGAACCACGAAAACAGCAAATTCCAAAGCTTTCACGTGCAAACTGCATGACAATACAACTCTCAGTATGGGCCTGAACACGCGAGCCGGGCTGGCTAGCTTTTGCCAGGTGACGTTTATCCTGGTATTACATGAAAAGAGGCAGCCCGGAGCCGCCATTTTTATGTAGAGATTGGAAACAGTGTGCATGTTTCTCGCATGGTTCATTCACCCGGCTGCCCGGCAAATGTGATTACTTGGAAATTTTCCAGCCGGTATCCCGGCATCACAATACTGGGATCCCAGCTAGCCGAGCTGGCTCGGTTGTCATGTAATCGCAAAGTTGATTTTTGTTGCGTTTAATTAAGGTGCCGAGATCTCTGCAAAGCTAGCCAGCCCGGCTCATGTAATCAGGCCGTTAGTTCTATATCCAGATTTTACGCCTTCCCTCTTGACCTCACCGAATTTTCCAAGCTCCACAGACCACAGACCCAAAATTTCAGCCCCCCAAACATCTTCATACCTCCTTCTCCAAATTAAATGGACTTTCGCTTATCCACGTACTCTCCATAAAAGTATTATCAAAAATAGCCGAAAGACAATCCTAAACAAAAAGCCTAACAACATTTAAAATAAGTGCAATTATGTTTTCGACTATTGATAAGATCTTTCACAACCACCACTTCATTTCAACAGACGTTAACTATACTATCCTGTCATAACCAAATTAGCACTCCCAGTCTCCCCCAACTAACCTCACTGCAAGAGCTAAAATCACTCTTACCTTCCAAAAAAAGATATTTTTTGTTACTTCATATCAAATTCTGTGAGAAACGACTTTCACTGATTAACAAACTACAGCCATAATCTTACCAATCCACGTCCAATGTAACTCCACGCCCTCCACTTCACACATCTCAACCAACACCTGAAATATACAACGCTACTGCACTACTCACACATCCCTAATATACTTGAAAACTTCGCATACGCCTAGTACAGCGATGCCCAAATATACGTTCAAACAACGTCTTATTGATTGTGTTTTGCTTTAAATACTTACAAGCAATTAGAGGTTGACGATCAGGTCTTTAATTATTATTATTATTATTATTATTATTATTATTATTATTATTTTTGTTGTTGTTGTTGTTGTCGTTGTTATTATAATGGTTATTATTTGTTATGTTTTCAGCTTATGATTTGTGGTGCCTTCTATCCAAATTTCTTCGTCTCGAGTGACATGGATGAATCTGAAGTTATGAAGACCATGTCTGGCCACGATCCTTTTTCCACAGTTATGGTAAGAACAGCGAACTAAATAGAAAAAAAATGATGAAATAAAAAAAATCAAATTAGTCGAGCGCTGCACGCGTTGTACTTATATGAAAAGCTAATGACTTTCAAACGAGCATTTCTCATTTATCATTATGTTCTCCTAACCAAAAAGTTTTAAATGTCTTGTAAATATTTCAGTAAGGCAATTAGGCGATGATGATGATGATGCTTATGCTGCTGGTAGTGGTGCCGCTGGTGGTGCTGGTGATGGTTCTGGTGGAGCTGTTGGTGCTGGTGATTGTGGTGGTACTGTTGCTAGTTCTACTGGTGAAGGTGCTGGTGCTGGTTGAGCTACTAGTTTGCTGCTAGCGGTGGTTCTGGTGATGCTGCTACTGGTGGTGCTTATGATGCTGCTGTTGCTGATGCTGGTGCTAGTGCTGCCGGTGAAGGTGGTGGTGATGCTGGTAGTGCTGCTGCTGCGGTGGTGTTGGTGGCACTGGTGCTAGTGCTGCTGGGAAAGGTGCTGTTGCTGGTGCTGGTTGAGTTGCTAGTTTGCTGGTGGTGGTGGTGCTGGTGATGCTTATGATGCTGCTGGTGCTGGTGGCCGTGGTGATGGTGCTGATACTGGTGGTGGTGGTGGTGGTGCTAGTGCTGCCGGTGAAGGTGGTGATGATGCTGGTAATGCTGCTCCTGCTGCTGCTGCTGTGGTGGTGTTGGTGACACTGGTGCTAGTGCTGCTGATAAAGGTGCTGTTACTGGTGGTGGTGGTGGTGGTGGTGATGCTGGTTGAGCTGTTAGTTTGCTGCTGGCAGCTGCTACCGGTGGTGCTCATGATGCTGGTGGTCGTGGTGATGGTGCTGGTACTGGTGGTGGTGCCAGTGAAGGTGGTGGTGATGCTGGTTTAGCTGCTGGTGCTGGTGATGTTGGTGTTGCCGCTAGTTTGCTGCTGGCGTTGTTGCTGGTAGTGGTGCCAGTGATGCTGGGTAATGGTGGTGGTGGTGGTGGTGTTTCTGAATTCTACTGACTATTTTATTAACATCCAATTAATTTCATTTATATCAACTTGCTTTGAATTGAGAGACAAACTTATCTCCGGAATAATTAATCCTACTGATGGTTAGAAATAAACAATGATTAATAAGTTTCAAATTATTTTAAATATTTAATTTACAAGGAATCAATGAGTAATTTCAACTAGCTTTTGCAATACTGTAATACTTTGTTATGGTCATGCAAATAAAGCTTATTGTTGTTGTTGTTGTTTCTGCTCCTTGAGCTGGTGGTGGTAGTGGTTGTGATGTTGGTGCCGGTAGCGATGATGGGTGATGTTGATGGTGATGTTGGTGGTCACAACCCAGGGTTTCCCTGATTCAGACGTTCAGTTTACGTTGCACGCCATGTCGTTTAAATTCAGATACTTAGATATGCATGTGGCGTCATTTCAGGTGAGAAATGTTCCTCCCCATGGTGCTCTTTACAAATCAGCCATTGCACGACTGTTCAGAGAGTGCGGCAGAGGAAAAGCAATATATTTTGAAGATACTAGGTACAATTTTTGTAGAACTTTTAGACTTACCATCTCTTTTGTGTTCTCACTAGCTAAGTGTCGGTCTTTATTATTTCTCATGGTGGTTATATCCTCGTTTTTTATTTATTTCTCTGTATATTTTACTGCAGGGCATACATTGAATTTGAAAGACCCCAACACATGGAGCAGGTTTTGCAGACCAACACAATTCTACCTGCTGTCTACTTGGCTCTTAAAATGAGGTGATAATTTCGTTGGGACTTTTAGCCATATCTATTAACTAACTAGGTAACTGGGGGGGGGGGGGTGAGCAGTAATTCACAGACCACGTGCATTTGACGGCCGGAGTTGTTTTTGTTGAACTTGAAGTAGTCTCCTTCAATGCGATGTGTGAAAATCGCCTTGTGCCGCGCCAGTCACAGTTGAGATAGACTATTTTCGCAAATGTTTACTTGTTTCTTGAAGGACTTTGGCTTGAAACATCCTTTTTCCACATGGAGATCTAAAAATGTTGCAAGAGCATATATAGACAGTGGTGAAGAACCTTCCGTTCTTGTGTCGCATACAAAAATGGAAAAAAATGCCTACTTTTTCCGAATAAGATTTGATTTGTCGCATTTCATCGAATTAACCAATCGGAGTGGCTCTTTGGTAATTATGTCCGATCTGTGGTAAACAGCTGCCGCTGCCTGAATCCCGCTGGTTTCACTATAGTTCTGCACGCACTGTTACTTAACTTATAAAATATTTTGATACGGAGGAGAAGGGTACTCCTTCGTTTTTCCTAAACGGGAATGTATGTGGCTGTTGAGCAAGGTATGGTTTGGGGGGTCTTGAGTCTGGAACAGGATATACAATGTAACAACATGTAACCACTTAGCGTCTTGAATAAGGTGTCTTTTTAGAGTTGTTGAACTGGAAGCGAGCGTTGGTGGTGCGTGGTCTACATGCGTGGTAACATCATTTTTTTCCCAAATCCTTTGCTATAGTGTCGTTTTTAGTAAACCTCCAAAATGTTCAAAATTTGAACAGGAAACATGAAAACGCTAGCTTTGATTTACTTTTCTTTGCTCGTTTTTCGATATCCACGTTTCTTCCAAATTTGTTCTTTAACTTTTTTGGAACTTTGTTTCCCTGCAGAAAACTTGGCAGGGAATTGAGCCTTTACGTTTCTGAAGCAAAGACTAAGCAAATGGACGAGATAATGGATAAGCGGCATGCTGCACAAATAGGACGTCTGGGAGTTCAGACAAACCTTAGATCAAACAAGTAAGTTTTGAACCAAATGAACTAATCACAACTTGAGCGCGTGCGAACATTCGTATTCCGATTGGTCAGCTTTGAACCAGCCAATTACTGATTGGTCATTCTGAAGTGAATAAACCAATTGTATCTCGAAGCAAATGTATGTACCCGTCCTCGAGCGAGGGAAACATCCATCCTCGGAGACCCAGGGGGCAGTCATTCGGGTCGGAAGAAAAGGCGGCACGAAAGTTTTCATTACGGGCGAAAGAGCCCCTGGGTATTGACTCTCACCGGACCATTTCCAAAAATTCAAGCGGATGCCGGCTCCTGATTGGGCACAAAAAATGCTTTGTATTATTGTGCCCAATCGGCGAACACATCTCAATGAGTTCTTTTCGTGTGTTCGTACATGACGGCTATTGTCTCGATCACGGCTTGTCTAGCTTATGCACCAAAGAAATGCACGTAGTCAGGAAACTTTCAGTCTGATATAAAATCCCCATCTGATCCAACTCGCTTACTTTGTCAAATGCAAGCGAACTCTTCTGAACCATATCAAAGTTCATGAAGAGAATGAATTTTGGTTATTGCTTGTTTACTCTTTCGCAAAACCTGAAGTTAGGCATTTTCACGGGTAGTCGTGCAGTTGACGGCAAAGAAGTGTACAAAAAAACGTGATGCACGTGCAAAGTTGTTGTTTTGCCTTGTCAAGCTATTACTTATTTGAATTTCTCATCGCCGCCCCATCTTAATTGTGATCCGTCAAAAAACAGAATATTCTCGGGGCAAATTCAATTGCTCTTGCTGATAGTAAGCCAAACGTTTTTTCAACTCATCGGTAATTCCTTTGTTTCTGGTTAGGAACTAGAAAATAAAAGTTTCCTTATACGCACAAGCTTGGTGAGCGAACCAGGCAAGTGTGGCGCGACAATAGCCGTCGTGTACGAACTCACGAAAAGAACTCAGGAGCAACTGTTCGCCGATTCTGCACAACAATACAAAGCATTTTTTGTGCCCAATTAGGAGCCGGCATCCGCTTGAATTTTTTGGAAATAGTTCGGTGAGAGTCGGTACCCAGGGGCTCTTCCGCACTTACTTGAAAACTTTCGTCCCGCCTTTTTTCCCGACCCGACTGACTGCCCCTGGGTCTCCGAGGATGGGGAAACATCACAACCAGTTTAGATTAATCGATTTAGCTAGTTTTGAACCATAAAAGGGGTTCCATCTAGAGGTAATTGGAAAATCATAACTGTCTTTGGTTTGCTGCTGAATGCAAGGAAAAACAGGTGACATTTGTTTGCCAGTCAGTTGACGCAGCGAATCTTGACCAAAAGTGATGATGATTTCTTGCACTCTTCGTTCATGTTTATGTTTGTTTCATACAGAGTGGCTACCAGTTTGTCCTCCAGAGGAGCCCACAATGTGTATTCCCTTCCACCACAGCAGGTAACTTTCATTCCCCTTTTCTTCCATTCTTCCGTTGTAGTTCTTCTTGATACGAGAAAAATACTCCGTCCCCCGTCCGTTTCTCCAATTACGTTATGTCTGTTTGAGGAAACTAGGCTGCGTAACAGGCCCACAGCGTGTTTTAGGAAGTAAAAGCGTGCACAAAGAGACATGAACCCGCATATAAAATCCCTCTAGTGGTCTATTATCAATGCTGCATTCTGATTGGTCGAGCTACTACTAGGCTATATGATATAGCCCAATAGTAGCGAAAAGCGCCGGCTTTGAAAACCAAAACAATGGCGGATTGATCGCGTTTTGCTAGCTAAAGTTGTTTTGTCTCGATATTTTTGACCAACTAGTTGGATTTTACTAAAACAATTATTCCTCTCGCCCTCATGGCCTCTGAGTTAATAGCCCATTCGGACCATTCCTGAAACTTACCCCCAGTATTAGTTTTCACCTCCTCGTGGCCAGCTGGACGTACGCTATTGGAGTCTGCGCTATAGCTTGAATGACCCTTGTTTTGTTCCTTTCCTTTCCTTCTATAGTTAAAGGGGTTGTGTCACGGCAGTCCAGTTCATTTTGTTTAATTTTTCCAATTACGCGCCCTCAATTGCTATGGAACTTAAAGTAAGCAAAGAAATTACATGGAAATGACAAAATCAGTGATCCGAGACAGACAAATATGTCTCCTGAGCATTACGTTTGAAGTTGCAAGCAGCAGGGATCAACCTTGAAAAATTGTTGGGCTGAACAGTTTTCAAAAACCCTGATTTGAATCCGTTTCAATCTTCTTCAGTTTTGCCCATCCGTGGCATCTGTTGTTTCTGTTATGTTATTTTAACCTTCCTTTAAAGTTTTAAGCGGTTATTTTTATGTTTTTCTTAATTTAACGGGCATTTTGTAATTTCCTAATTTGGCTGAATTTCGTGACACAGCTCCTTTAATCACCAAAGACGACTGTCGCAAGTTTCTCCGCGATCGATTATTTAAAGAAAAGTGATGCGATGTTTCGTTATTTTTACTCAACAGGTTGACCTTCCTCTGAACGGCTACTTGGAAATTTTGACGACAGCGGTAAGAAAATGATGAAGTTACTTAGCATATAGAGGATTTTCACGTTGCGTCACGTCCGCCATATGGGTATACAAAAAGCAAGATGAGTTGAACCTTGTTCTTATGCAAAAACGTTCTTTTGATCCAATAACCTTGCGTAGCTGCTGATCACGTGAGTGAAAACACTGTACGTCATCCATGGTACGTAACCCATCCCCGGGGGACTCCTATATAAAAGTGACAAGGATGCTCGTCGTCTCGCTTTGGGGTGTGAATTGCAGAGTTTGGTCTCACTTGGGGTGTTTGGGGTGGAAAGTTACCATATTTGTCCGTTCAGGTGCATGTATGCTTAGTACTGTGCATAAAAAAAAAAAAAAAAATGCCCTGACACCGACGACACAGAAATCTCCCTTAGGGGTCAGTTTAAGGTTCAGACACACCCACATTGGTGTCCCTTAGGGGTGTAATTTGAATTTTCCGACGAGCATCTCCGTCACTTTTATATGGGAGTTCCCCCCGGGAAACCACCGCGGTCCAAGGTATCAGACGTTTCTCGTTTTATTCACTGGGATTTCATTTACAATTATATGGAATCAAGGACAAGAGACTTTATAATTATTTTTCTAAGGTATTTCTTTTTGCATGTTTCTCAAAAGCTACAGTAGTGCATCGTTTTGTCGTTGAAAGTCCTTCGCTCTCGTTGACAAACTGGGCCGACAATTTGCTACTAGTTACAGTTTTCAAACACTCGAAACTTTTTTAGTAAACTTTTGAAAAGTTTAGTAAATTAGAACTTAGATGATTCCTTTGTCGTGGCTTACTTTATGTTGGTGTTTGATTGCAGGTGGTTGACGCTGGCCACTTCTGGGCTCAGAAACCCGACAGGGAATCTTTTACAAGGCTGCACATGTTGCAAGACGGAATAAACAGGAATGAAGGAAGAAACTTGAGGGTATGGGTAATTCGATGTGTCCATTTTTATAAGTCCCGCAAATTTTTGCTAAGTTGATCAAGCCTTTAGTTAAATCCCAATGTTGACCAACGTCAATTTTCTCCTGACAACAATACGTAACCAATAGAACAGATTATATTAATTAATAAAATGTTCATCACAGGGAAAATGCTTTCATCTTTAATCAAATTCTCTAAATTTAATCCTTTAAGGAAATGTTTTGGGGTTCAGTCAGGGAAAATTTTTATGTACATATTGAAGATTAAAGGGTTTAGTCAAGTTGCCACCGTAAATAGGCTCAAAGGCTGTGGTTCAGTCGCTAAGTTTTCGTCATATTGAAGCATTCAATATATATTTTTTTGTCTTTGTGTAGTGCTCACTCAACAACAAGCAAGCCAAAAGACGGCTGTAAAGTTATAGAGCGATTTTCGTATGACCTTGAAATGAAAACGCGTAAACAAAACAGAAACAACAAATAAACGGAAATAGAGCGTTTCGATTGGTTTATCAAACGGGTACAAACGCGCGTGGCTTTTGGTAGGTTAAGCGAACTCTTGGGTGAAAAAACTTCATGCCCGGAGGAACTTTGTCGATATCAATCGATACTTCGTTTTAACGTCATACTGCAACACGTTTGGCCAATCGAACAATACCTTCTCCATGTTGGGGTTTTCTATGGCGGGAAAACGAAGAGACCATGTTTTGTTCTTTTCATCCATTGGCTGATAAAACAAATAACGAACACTCAACGAAGGCATTTTTCAAGGTGATACGAAAATCGCTCTATGAAGCTGAAGAAATAACTTATAATAGGCCATTTTCGAATTATCAAAATTCATACTTGGTTCCGAGGCTGACGAGAATAAAGCAGAAGTAATGGATTATTTATCACTGAATCTCAAGGCGTCTTTTGTTTTATACCCCTCAGCCTAGGTGCTAACTGTGAATTTTATTAATTCGAAACTGGCCTACAAGTAAAGCGAAGCAGCCCGAGAAAACAGTCGTCATTTCGCGACGCTACCACTGGTTTGCTTGCGAAATGACGCCTGTAGAAATTCCGTATTGATGATGTGCCAGGGTAGTGCTTCTGATTGGTTGAAGCAAATAAGCCTCGCGGCACGACCAATCAGAACGATTCCCAGATCCGGCCAGTTGCACGTCATCAGTAAGGGATTTCTGCAGCCTTATGTCGTGGGGAGACCAGTTGTGGTGTCGCGAAATGTCAGCTGTTTACTCACAGGTGAAAAGCGAATCAGAAACTCGGAAAATGTTAAATAAATAAATGCCGTAAAATTCCGAAAATAAGCCCCGGGGCTTATTTTTTTCAAAGGCCCTTTTTGAGGGGCTTATTTTTGGAGGGGCTTATATTCGGAGGGGCTTATCTACGGAGGGAAATTTGCGTTTCAAAATCGATTGGGCTAGCTTGTAGTGGGAAGGAAATTTACCATTTTTGCTTTGTTTTACTTTGTATTCGAGGGCAAATTCAAAGTACAAGCCCCCCCCCCCCCGGGGGGAGCGATTTAACGGAGGGTTTTTTGCGTTACGATTTCGGGGGCTTATATTTGGAGGGGCTTGCACATGGAGGGGCTTATTTTCGGAATTTTACGGTAGATCAGCCACAAAAGAGAAAATCCATTCCGAAAATACAGTAATGACGGAGACGCCAGGAGAACTGACAGGGTCGCAGCCCATAACTGGATCTGATTCAGTTTATGGGGCGGATTGTCCAGTAGGCCATTTGCACGATGGCGTCATTTTACTACTACGACCTGCGACCCGAATCCTTCAGGGTTTTGCTTTCTTGTGCAATTTAGGGGTTTTATTATTGAAACCTCGCTAGGATTACCAAATTTAAATGTGAAAGGAAAAACGTCGCTAAGATTCTGGTCGTTGTAGTAAAATGACGCCATCGTGCAAATGGCCTATTAAGTGATGTTGCTTAGCATTTGAGTTAAAGTCTTTTCACTGTTGATTTTGTTTTAATACTCTTGCCAAATGTACGTTGCCTTCAGTGTAACATTTTGTGGTGTTATTTTGGCAGCCATTCCAGGACATGAAAGATATACGTGTTGGAATTTACTGTATAGCTCTCTATGAAGATGAATTGTACTACAGAGCAAAGCTGGTGTCTTTTAAGGATAACTTCCACGTTGAGGTGAGCGTCTTTCAAGGGCTGTTCCTAAGGGCTGGGGGCTGGGGTATTTCCCCCCGGCTATTATGAGCATGATCCCCGGCCTGACACTTCCTTATGAAACATTTGGGGATAATAATCTGATCGTAATCTGTCACTGAGGGCTGGGGGCTGGGGTATTACCCCCCCGGCTAATATGAGCATGATAACCGGCCTGGCAATTCCATATGAAACATTTGGGGATCATAGCCTGATCACAATATTTCACTAAGGGCTGGGAGCTGGGGTATTACCCCCCTGCGAGCATGATCCTCGACCTGAGACTTTCATATGAAACATTTGGGGATCATAATCTGATCATAATCTGTCAGTAAGGGTTGGGGAGTGTTGTAGTACGCCTCGGCTAATATGAACATGATCCTCGGCCTGACACTTTGGTATGAAATATTTGGGGATCATAATCTGATCATAATCTGTCACTAAGGTTGGGGAGTGGTGTATTATCCCCCGGCTAATATGAGCATGATCCTCGGCCTGACCCTTTCATATGAAACATTTGGGGATCATAATCTGATCATATTCTGTCACTAAGGGTTGGGGAGTGGTGTATCCCCCCTCCCCCCGACTAATATGAACATGATACCCGGCCTGACACTTTCATATGAAACATTTGGGGATCATAATTGGGAGACATATGCAGTCGATAAAAAACAGTCAAACCTCCATTATCGGTCACCCCTATGGACGTGTTTAAACCTCTCTTCAACGGCCACCGCTCTACAACGGCTTCTTTCTTCTACTCCAAAGGCAGCCTACGTCGCAGACGTAATTTAACCCCAGTTAATAACGCCTGTGAAGCAGCGCCGAGATGCTTGTTGTGGGACCCCAACGGATTGAACAAATTACCGGAAGTGCGTTTGAGATTTCCTTTCAACCTGATTGGCAAATCCATAATGGCTTTTTTAACAGACCAATCATGGCGCGTAGTCAAATTTTGCTATACAGGTGGGGGCCCAGAACGAGTATTTCGGTGCTGTCTCGCAGACGAACCTTAACCAGTAACCAGAGTTAAGTTCGTCTGTGGCGCAGGCTATCCCCAAGGTGGCCATTGTGGAGGGGTTCAACTGTACTTCCGGTAGGCACCACTGCCACCAGACATTACCATCATTTAATTAATTTTCAACTCGCTACGCAGGTTCTTTACGTCGACTATGGCAATTTAGCAGTGGTCAATGTGCGGAATCTCAGGCAAATGGAGAAAGAATTTAGTGCCCTATCATTTCAGGTTACCTGTGTTGTTTGTTCGACCTACTGTATGTATCGGCGGCTGTATATTGTTACGTGTTTAATGGGACACATCAATGTTATGTTACCCGTTTTCGCATCGCTTGAAATACACTTTTTTGCCCCCAGACTTTGGCTTAGGGAAAGTTCATTTAATATGACAAGGGGGCAGGATGAAGATATTGAGGGGGGGGTCCGAAAATTTTAGACACCCGAAGGGGGGGGCTCTGAAAAAAATTGTTGCGCTAGGAGGGGGGGCTCCGAAAATTTGTATACTTCAAAACCAACACATGACATCATCATACAGATCGGATGGTTTTCAACTCAACAATTTAATGACCTGTGCAACTCAGCTATATCACGTGGTTTACAGATATAACAAATGTAGTCCCAGTAATTATTACACTCTTTTAGCTTGTTCATCCTAAAAATGCTTTAGAAAATTGTATCACAACTGTATCTCAAGTTTGTCATAGTATAAACCATTGAAGACAATAACGGTAAATATATTTAATAAAGTCTAGCGATCTTTTTTCAGGGGAGCAAAGGAATTGAAGGAGGAGGGGGGGGGGCTCTGAAATTTTTTCGACTACCAAGGAGGGGGCTCCTAAAAAATTGGACCGCTAGCGAGGGGGGCTGCTAAAATTTCAAGCTTCGAGTTTCAATGTCTTCATCCCCCTCCCTTGTCATATTAAATGAACTTTCCCTTAGCCTTTTTTTTTTTTGGCATAGCCATTTTCGTCTGTGGCTCATGGGTAATGACACGTCATCAGTATGGAATTTCTGCAGTCGTTCCTTGAGCGTCATTAGGCTGACTTAGCAACAGAACGGGAACGTCACTTGACGACGGCGCACGCAAATCAAACAACTGGCTTGACCAAATGCAGAGCGGCAAATCTGGCACCGGAAGTGGCGTACAGTCCTTTCCGCCCTCTTTTCCGTCGTCAACTGATGTTCCCGTTCTGTTGCTAAATCAGCCTATTCCGCAGGGAGACCAGTTTTAGCGACGCAAAATGTCAGCTGTTTTCTAATGCTACTTCGCTTTGCGAATTAAAATAGGCCAGTTTCGAATTATCAAAATTCATACTTGGCTGAAACGATTAGAGGAATAAAACAAAAGAAATCATATTGACACCCTAATTTTTTTGGGTCCCGAACCGTGTAAATTCTGTTACAGATTGCAGCACTGTTCAAAAACTTGAATGGGTTAATGGACTCGTGTGGACAGAGCCTCTGAAAGTCAACAAAATTATTTATCTTTATTTCTCTCACTACTTTCAGGCATTTGAGTGCATGTTATGTGAAGTGGCTCCGGTGCCCTCTGCCCGCTGCCCTACAGGAACATGGTCTCAAGACGCTACCAAGAAATTCATTGAGCTAGCAGGAGATAGAAGGCTAGTTGCCAAGGTATTAATATGGCTCTTATAACCTTTACGACATGTGACAAGATCGGGGCGGCGGAGCGCCGCTTCGCCTCGTTACAGGAATCGCGCCGAACTCACCGTTTTTTTACGTGTAAACAGAAGCCCTATCCAGTATGGTTTGGTGTGGGCACAAGAGGTATCCGGCATAGTGTGAACATAACCTAAATCTCCCGCTTCGTTACAGGAATCGCGCCGAACTCACCGTTTTTTTACGTGTAAACAGAAGCCCTATCCAGTATGGTTTGGTGTGGGCACAAGAGTTATCCGGCATAGTGTGAACATAACCTAAATCTCCCGCTTCGTTACAGGAATCGCGCCGAACTCACCATTTTTTTACGTGTGAACAGAATCCCTATCCAGTATGGTTTGGTGTGGGCACAAGAGTTATCCAGCATAGTTATCCGGAACATAACAGGGGCACCCAACGAGAATATAGTTCAAAACCACTTAAACGTAGCATTGTTAAACGTATTTTAGTATTTAAACGGTAGATATAGGCATATTTTTATCCCCTAAAAATTTTTCATCTGTTCGGATTTCCTAGCTGAAAGTCTCGAGATCCGAAAATCAGAGGGATCAAAACTTACCTTTTCAAAAATTTCAGCCAGAAAAAAGGCTCTCGAAAATTCTAGGTGAGCTTTTTAGGGTAAAAATCCGTTAAAAATGGGCAATTACACCAATTTTTAGATGTTCGAGAATCCTAGGAGAGGTAGGCAAGCAAGAAATTTTTACAAGAAATGTTCCGAAAATTCTAGATCTCACATCGTCTTCCGAACAGATATTTTCCGAAAATTGACGTTGGGTGCCCCTGACATAACCTAAATCTCCGTATTAACTCTGTTTTTGCAACGTAGGTATACTCACGGGTAAGGAATGTTCTTCGCGTGGATCTTTACGATACTAGTACTGAAGAGGACATACACATCAATCAGACGCTCATTGACTACGGATTTGCCGTGTTTCAGGAAGAATCTCATGCTTCCAAGGCAAGAAAAGACACAATTGCGCTTTTAAATTATTTATATGCATTTCAGAGAACTCAACATAGTAGGAGTTTATAAATAATACTTCATAGCGCGAATATCACTTCATGGCACTTGTTTATGTGAATCCGCCTCGCTCTTTCGTTTTGCTTTTTCCCGGCACGAAACAGTTACCCCATTAACTTTAAAGTCATAAAAAAACCGTAGCTTGAATTTAAAATTTCACAAGATGGAGCCGAGGCAAGAAAAGATTGGTTCCGTAGGGGACAGTCAGGAAATGATTATTTTGTTATATAGCGTACGAAGAAAAACTCATTCAAACTAAATCGCAGCGAGCTGTCAGCACTCGCTGGTAATAGGGTATTTTTACCCTCTGACGAGATAAATTTTGCAATGTTGCCCTCGTAGAAACGTTGGCGGGAAACAGTTTTTTTACTGTGTTAAATGGTGACCCTGAAGTAACCAACTAGAGTAGCTTAACAAAGACAGAAAATAATTCTCTTGTTACTACCCCATTAACACATAATTTTATCATTTTATAGAGGTTCACACTCTTCACAGGCCATTTCCGGATTCCAGAAACCCTCAATTTTAAAAAAACCTTTGTTGTGGAAATGAGTTTTAGTTGCGTGAGAATAAGAAATCATTTTCATATCAGGCTTCGCACCTGGCCTCACTTTGAAACAGAGGCTTGAGGCTATTAGGAATTAGTAAAATCCAACTGGTGGTCTATTATCAATGCTGCGTTCTGATTGGTTGAGCTACCACTAGGCTATATGTTATAGCCCACTAGTAGCGAAAGCGCCGGCTTTTTGGCGGCAAAAAAGGATTAAAGTCTACCTTTAACCAGCTAAAGTTGTTTTGTCTCGATATTTTTGACCAGCTAGTTGAATTTTACCAAAACAATTATTCCTGTCGCCCTCATGGCCTCTGAGTCATATCCCATTCGGGCCTTCGGCCTCATGGGCTATTGACTCAGAGCCCATTCGGGCTCGAGGAATAATTGTTAAATAGCCTATTAATTTCTTTACTCCAGACAAGTTACTGTTCTAATTATTCTTGTTGTTGTTGTTGTTGTTAATTTTTATTAGATGGCTCATAGGAATGCGACCTCTGGCAGTGGAAGTCAGGGCTGTGATAACACCACTTGGCTGAATGACTTAGAATTGGAAGTTGGACATATAAGGGACGATCGGGAGTGTAGAAAGGTGTAGTGCAGTTATTATATCACTTACACGTTCAGAGAATCGGATCATTAGACGTTTCTGAGAAACTGTCCACCTACCCCTCCCCTAAGCCAATATTTTGCCTTAAGTGAGAAGTGTTTGTTGATGTTTGCCTGGGGGAGGGGTCGGTGGGCAGTTTCCCAGAAACGTATAATGAAATGATCCAGAGACTCCCACCCTGCGAGCAGAACCTCCTTTTATCTTCTCGTTGATCGAGGAAATGAATTGTCAAGTTAGCTCTGCCAAAGCAAGCGAGACTAATAAAGGTGACAATCTTAGCTCTGCCAAATTGCCAAATTGCGTCAATCCTTTGAAGTTGCCGCAGCCCGAACGTCTGGACTAGTTAATCTGGTTTTCTCTCGTCAAACTGGATTTCTATGCGCGACCATCCGTTTATATGTTCATAACAGAGCCCGCTGTACCAAGCGCATGCATATTAGGCCTGAGTTCGAAGCTGTATCGTAGCAACATGCAAGTATTGACCCCAGCGTGTCCAAGTTACTAGTTTGCTAACTAAACGTCTGCTCCTTAACCAGGGTGTTAAGTAAAAAGGTTTTTATTGGACAGGTTAATCTGCGAGGCCCTGAGAGTCCTATCGAGATGAGCTTCTACAGTATCACGAACATAGGGAGACTGAGGTGAGAGACGATAAGTTTTAGGTAACTTCATGCTGCTTGAGGCCCTGTCCACACTAATACGTTTTGGTTGTAATCGAAAACGCATCGATCCATTCGCGTCCACACCACCGTTTTGATGCGTTTTCGACTGCCCACGCTAAAACGTTCGAAAACGATGGAATTGCACGTTGTGACTTAAGTTGAACTCTACAAACACGCGCCTGGGATATTTTCGGTCGTCGGTTCCAATATGTTGCGTTTTCGACCATTTTCGACCGTCCACACAAATGCGACTGAGCGTTTTGAAATCGATGCGTTTTCGATGAAAACGCTCAGCGTATGTGTGAGCGGAAGGCCTAAACGCATCGAAATGTATGCGTTTTCAAACGAAAACGTATTGGTGTGAACTGGGCCTAACTCTGGAACTACAACAACAAATCTCACCAAGTTGCAACCGAATCGTGAAGTACCAAGATATTGACATTGGCGGCCATATTTAGATCTAGTTGAAAGAATAACGGCAAAGCTATCATTGTCTCAGTGTCTCTATCCGCGGGTGTCCCGGTGCGGTCGCGATTCTCACGGCCGGGCGCAAGGTTAAAGCCTTTGTTTAAATAACCAATCAAAAACAAGATCTTGTAAGTGTACTAGGTATAATTTACCTCAGTTTAAATTCCGAGTTAAAATGTAGGTAAAAGTATCAGGAGTCCGAAAGGAGCCTAATTCTAGGTCGAGATTTATTTGTTATTCTGCAAACGGTTTCGGCAAAATACTGTTTCTTTAATTTTTTGGCATAAGCGGTGTTATTGTTATCTCGTCCAAAAGAGCAGCCCAACCCGTTTCCCTAACGTGGGAGAAATCACTGGCGCATGGAGCTGTAGACCGAGGCCAACTGTAGTTACCCTTCCTAGTTGAAAAGCGCACCCTCTAAAACTTTTCTTGTATACTACAGATCCGTGAGAATAGAGCAAAACTCTGTCAACAGTGTTGTGTTGAATGATCAGCCTCAGGACCCACATCAAAGGTTTTTGGTGGCGGCGAACCTCAGCATTAACGCTACTGGAACGACGGTAGTTGCAAGGTAATACTTGTATCGGTAGCTTCAGTCGTTAAACCTTGATAAATTGTGTAATTATTATTAATATTATCTCTCCTGTCACAGTCTTTGCTGGTGTTCTTTTTGGGCATCAGCCGGGCGCAAACCATGCACCTCGAGCATCAGTCACTCAAGTCAATCATTCTGTTCATACACTAAGCACCTTCACAGGATTCGTGCAGATCCGAGCATGCAGATCTTTTGAATCTCTGTCACAGTAGCTCTCTCTGATCCTTTCTTGATGTTTTCTACCTTCCTCTTCTTTACTGTGCCAAGCGCACCGACAACCACGGCCTGGTTAGCTCAGTTGGGAGAGCTCCGGTCTGCCGAGCGGGAGGTCGCGGGTTCAAACCACGGCCTGACCAACACTCGGGGTCTTTTAATAACTGAGAAGAAAGCGCTGCCTTTGTGACGACATCTGCAAATGGTTAGACTTTCTAGTGTTCTCGGATAAGGACGAAAAACCGAAAGTCCCGTCTCACAGCACTTTCTCTGATTTGTTCTTGTGGGATGTAAAGGAACCCACACCACTATTCGAAAAGAGTAGGGGTCGTAGAGGCCGGTGGTGTGGCCAACCTTTACGGGTTGTGGGATTGGGTAGGGATGGCACCTCGCGTGGGACCTGAGTCCGTTCGTGCACATTCCCTCTGGGCAGGCCTGTGTCCAGAAAGCTGGTAAATAAATAAATAAATAAATAAATAAACCACAGGGATCATTTCGGTTTTATCTGCCACGTTCTCTGTATTTATAGTTCTAGATGTTTGTACTTGCTTTTCTTTTCGATTTCATTCAGTGCGATGTTTCTATCTGATTGAATAGTCATATCAATCCGAGTTTGCAGTTGGAATTCACTGAATCTTTAACGATGATGTGTGGTCTCTGCTGTTCGCTGTTATAGTTCTATCAGTATTGACTTGAATGTTCACATGATTTTGATGTTGTTGTCTTTTTTGTGTATTACAGTCTCTGGCTTGTGCTTGTACCATTTGTCTGTAATCTCGATATCATAATCTTTACAGATGATAATAATAATATTATTAATAATAATAATAATATTTTTTTTTACTTCCCTAGTTTTCTTAAAAGGGGAGAACAGTGCTGAGCAGCGTGGCCAAGCGGTTAGAGCGCTTGACTTGCGGTAGGCCTTTCTCAAAAATGCCATTATAGCTCCTCTAAAATTTTACGTAAGCACTGTTTTGAATTCCTCTTGTGACTTACAATCGCCCCAAGAGAAATTAAAAAATGATACTTATGCAAAATTTTGGAGGGGCAAGAAAGAGTACTATGGTATTTTTGAATAAGGCCTATTGGGAAGCCTTGCAAATAAGACTTGAACAAAGTTTAAAATTAAACCACCAAATTAGCACCTGAGTCTAATTTCCCTGCATATCTATACTCAGCAAGCAGCTTATGACCGACACATTTTACTCAGTGTGTTTGTGCTCTTCCAGAGACACAACTCTGATGCCAAACATACATGGCCTGATGTCTATTGTCGCGCTTATCTTCGCTCCATATACAGAAATGAGGTAAAGACAGAAGTTGTCGTATTTCTACTCCTAGGATTCTTTACACACCATAAAGGATCTTGACCTTTTTACGAATCAAAAATGTTACCTTTTTGGATACTTTTAAGACAATACTTATAATGGTTATGAAAATTAAAACAACGTCAGTGATTGTCTCCCTCGTGTGCTCCTGTATCCACAGGGCCGACCCTGAATACTGTAAGTATACAGGAGCGTTGGTAGGCCTGGGATTTGATCCGCACACAGGAAAGGCACTGCTGCCAGACCATGACAGCGAGCTTGTGTTCGAGGTGGACATAGATCAGGACGACCTTATCAAGGTTAGAAAGAAATTTACTCCATTCCTTTCACATGTTCATCTCTTAGTACCGTTGCAAGCACCAACCCATTCACTACAAAATGAATTCTACACAATAGTCCAGTTTCGAATTCGCCGCGGCCGCTGAATAGAAGCACTGAAGACTCATTTATACAGGGTTAGCCTCAACCTAAGGTAAATTTATTCACAAATGCCAGTCAGAGGAAGACCTGCATACATCTGTTGTTGTTGAGAGTGACTCAAGTCATTGTTAACAGCAACAGTCCTATTCACGACTACGTTCACCCGGACGATCAAACTCAACCAACTTTTGAAATTATTTGATTATACATTGTTTTGAAGAAAATAAGGACAAACACAGAATTCCATAGAACATAGTCTGACATTGCTTTCGGAAATCATGCACTGTGCGTGCAACCTACAGACTAGTCACTAATCTGCTCGCAGATAACTAACTAATCTGTAGGTTGCGCTGATTTCCAAAGTATTAACTGTAGGCTCTTAGCTAATGAGAAGACAGATATTGAGTACAATGTGTTATAATAAATACGAAAAGACAAAAAAATCCAAAAAATGCGAAGGACGGTATTAACTTCCATCAAAAGCACAGGGAGCAGAGGAGTTATTTGGGACCTTGATTGTGTTAAATTTTTCAGCCAACAGTGCAATTCGCCTTTGTAACTGTATATGAACAGGACCGATCAAACCGTCTTGCGATCCTGTTACAAACCTCGTGTAAAATGATATAATCATTGATTAACATTTCTGTTAGGCAACATATATACCGCAGACCTAAAGGACTGAAGACTCTAAAATCGTCTTACATTCTGTATTTTTCGGCAGCTTGTACCTCGCTAGGAAAGCTTCGCTTTCCAAATGCGTCGCCCTTTGGACGACCTTCGTTTCCACCGAGGATTGGATAATATTTTACCAGGTTTGTAACAGGATCGCATGACGGTTTGATCGATCAAGTTCATTTTCGATTCTACAGTAAACAGAAGCTAATCGAGCTACCTTCAAACCTGTGTACAACGGTAAACCTTGAGAAATGGCAAGGTTACCGTTATATACAGGGTGGCCGCTATATACAGGTCACCTTTGCAGAAAATATAATGCAACTGAAAATTTTGGGAAGTTGTCCAGTGACCGTAATATACCGGGCCGTTATATACAGGTTTGACTGTATTTATACCTGAAAATTTTAACTACAATCAAGGTCACAAATTACTCCTTTGCTCCATGTGCCCAAAGCGATTCGTCCGGTGGTGACATCACATTACTTGCTCTCATCTTCTTCACCCAGAAATGTTTGATTTACTAATGTCAAATCTTTGCCAAAGTGTTAAACGCATTGACCTTAATATTGTACAGTCTGTGGCAATTTAACGTGACTGGTTAGCTCATTTGGAAGAGCGCCGGTCTGCTGAGCGGGAGATCGCGGGTTCAACCCCGGCCGGACCAACACTCAGGTCTTAATAACTGAGAAGAAAGTGGTGCCTTTGTAATTTGACATCTGCAAACAGTACATTCTAGTCTTGTCGGATGATTACGAAAAACCGTAGGTCCCGTTTCGCAGCACTTTCACTTTTTCTGGTTCTTGTGGGACGTACAAGAACCCACACCGCTGTTCTAAAGGAGAAGAAGATTCAGACCCCGGTGATGTGGCCAACCTTGCCTGGGCTGGGTGGGTTATCTGCGAGGAGTGATCTTACTGTAGGGATAACGTCATGATCCTCCTTCGGGTGTCGTAATGGCTACCTGGAAACAGAGTATATATGTATGTGTATATACTTATGTATGTATCTTTTCTATACGCGTTCTCTTGTGAATAAAGCGAATATCATCACCAAAGATTTACCCATTAACCCTTTAAGCCCCAATATCCACATACAAATTCTCCAAACTGCTCTCTATATATTTCCTTAAAGAATGTGTTGAGAATTTGATAAAAGATCAAAGCATTTTCTCTTAGATGATCATTTTATTAACTCCCACAACCTAATCTCTTGACAATTTATGGATATTGTTAGGAGAAAATTGATGTTGGTCACCATTGGGACGTAAAGGGTTAAAGTTAGCCGTGATGTGGGCGGTTGGTTCTGTCTCTTGTTTTCTGTATTATGGAAGGTTCGACTTATTACCTTTCTTTGGTTGGTATTCAGATCAACTCGCTGCGTACCACGATTAACCTAATGTTTGAGAGCGAGGCGGAGATGGCAGAATGGGGAACATCTCAAGTAGAAAAATTACAGAAGCGAAGTAGAAACATGATAACAACGTATGTAACTGTATGTTATTTATTTATCTTCACCTTGATAACAAAAAGAAAAGTTCGAGCTTCCAGGGTGACGCTCATAATATTACAGTCGAGTCATGTCAGGCGTATCCCCCAAGAGTACTTATAAATGAATCAATTATTTGAGAAATGAATCCTTTAGTCGTTGCTGCAACAAGTAAATTCAATTCAATTCTGCATTTCTGGATGCGTAATGAACAGTGAATTTCTTTCGACTGAACTTCTCTGTATTCGGCCAGATCGACAAAAATCTTTGAATGGAAAAAAATTGATTTGAAGAGATTTTCACCAGATGAAATTCAAGAATGCTTAGCTGGTAGAAATTTCATGGCTTCCTCCCGTGTGAATTCACTGCTCATTACGCATGCAGGAATGCAGATATGAATCTGAAATCAACTGCTACCAACGGATTCAAGTTTCGAACCATAAATTCTTTAGCGGAATCTTGATGGGTACACTTGACTGGGCTCGACTGTAATGTGTGCATTGTACAGGACAGTAACACATGTGAAAGTAAAGTTGTTGGCTGTGCAGTCTACTGTAAGAGGAGAGAATTGTGTTTCTTTCCATCTTGTTTAACCATTTGTGACCCTTAAAGAACAATCTGATAGAAAGCTTTATGATGAAGTTAGCGAGGATAAACACCGTCCGTTATATTCTATAGAGTGTTTCCACATGACGTCACGGCGGCCATGTTAGTGTCCCAACCCGTTCCGTGGGAGTTGAACTCTTTTCGTATGTAAACGCGTTCTTTTGTTCCAATAAATTTGCATAGATGCTGGCCACGTGAGTGAAAACACTCTATATTAGGGAGCTCAAGCAACAGCGTTTCTGAGCGACGGACGTCAATCGGAAGTGGAGTTATTGCATCATTAGGCAGTGGTTCTGTTGAAACTCTCAGGTAAATGTTCTTTATCAGAGAAAAGAAACCTAGCAAGGCATATAAAAAGGGAGAAGGCCTCACTTCCAGTTTACGTGCGTCGCTCAAAAACGTCTTTGCTTAAGTTCCCTATTACCAACTGTAAAGAACCCTTCTCACAGGCTTCGAAGAAAGGTCTTTCAGCAACCTCTTCTTAACCGTGAGCACTTTAAGAACTGCTTTGTAATTAGGCTATGATTTAATTATAACTTAGCAATATGATTCTACTTTAATTGTACAATTTAATTTCCTTTTTTGCTTTTCTTTCTTAGTTACGTATAATTCAACAGTTTTTGATCTGATATTTTATGACGTTTGTAACTTTTGATATGTATTTTTATCGAATTCACCGTTCTAACATAGACCATAATGCACCTTGTTTACCCCCAAAAGTTTGCATAACCCGTGTCTTGGATTTCTCTTAAGACGACTGTAATACCCAGGAGAAATTGGAAACAATGGTTATGCAAAGTTTTGGGGGTAAACATGGTGCATTATGGTCTACGTGAAAGTAGTGAATGAAAGGTTGTTATTATTATTATTTATTATTATTTTTATTATCATCATTTATTATTGTTATTATTATTATTATGATTATGAGAATTGTCTGTTGTTTTCTTTTTGTCGCAATAGTCTTATTCTGAAAACGCGTCAAAGCGTAAAACCATGGGCATTTCCACGATCCTCTCGCTGGAATCAGGTGAGAAAACCTCTGATAGCCTGTAGTATATATTTAGCCGGATGTTTGAAAACGTTACCGCCAAATGGACCTTTTCTGCCCAACATTTTGTTTTTCGGCTAAAAATCTCTAAAGTAGCCTTTTAAAAACTAAGAGTGCGACCATTGCTTGTTTCTCTTCTCCTTCTTTCTCCCCTTTCTCCCCTTTATCCTTTGTGGCCATCTGAGCCGTGCCATAGTGCCATAGTGTATCTGCCTACAAGACATAGTCAAAACCTGTTTCCTTTAGCGTATGTCAGACCCAAAGGCCTTCCTGTGAACAATTGCAAATAGGCAAACTACATTCGGCGAAAAAATTGATTGAGACGCTTTGCCTTAAAGGGCCTTTCTGACGTTTCACCGACATCAAAGGGGGAAAATAAAGCTTCCCCTTCCCCATCCCCTTCGTGTAATGTTGTGTTGCTGTTGGAGCTACCTTTACAAAACAAACAAAAAACAACAACTTTGAATGGAGGGGAGGAGGAGGGTGTGGATTGTTTTGTTCTCTGAAGTAACCCTATATGAGTGTCTCAGCAATTTTGCCGTCGATTGTAGCCACAGTCAAAACCTTCTAAAATTACATGTACGGTCTAGGTTTCACAAAAAGCGTGGAGAATTCTCTTGATTCTGGCTCTTTAATATTACAGATTGATCCTGCTTATAAAATGAATCCAATCCAACAACCAGCAGGTGCCGTCGATTGTGCCCTTTACACCTTGCATTGTGGTATTGCGATCTCTGATAGGCCACTAGAAGACGACGATGAATCGAGAATGAAACGAGAAGAAAAGCGAGAGCAGATGCAGTGGCTTAGAAGCTTGGAAGGAAGGTAAATTTCTATTTGTGCCAAGATTCGGTGGCTAGATACTAGATACTTTATTTATTTAGCACAGAACTCATAAAGCTGACACTTATTTACAATGAAGCTGTGCATGAAAAGTAAAAATCAGACAAAAATAGCAAAAATAAGAACAATGCTAAAAATTACAATTAATTATATATTTACATATACAATAAATAGAGAGAGAATCAAATAAATGATAATAAATACAAATAAAAGTCAATGCCTAATTATGATTATACTTAAAGAATTGTCACTAAAATCTAGGCGAATAGTTGGTATAAAGAGATCCAGCTGATGGGGAGCATTTATTAGTAGCACTAAGGCTATTATAAAGTTTTGCGGCTGAATAAGTGAGCGCTCTGTAGCAAGATTTAGGAGCTATTTTTACCATGTAACTGTTGAATTGTTTCTAGTATTATAAAAATGTATATCACATATTCAGGGGAAAAAAAAGAGATCCTTAACCCTCTAAGGTTGGCTGCGTGCCGCGTAAGATTCAATACAGAAAGCGGGTAGGATGTCCATTTTTTCAATTCGCCATTTTTACATCTCCCATAATACACCTTGTTTGCCCCCAAAAATTTTGCTTAAACATTGTCTTTTATTTTTCTTGGGACGATTGTAATACCCAGGGGAAATAAAAAATTAAGTTATTCAAAGTTTGGGGGGGGGGCAAACAAAGTATTATGGGAGACGTGCAAATGGCGGCCGAACAATCGAGCGTTTCCCGCACGCTGAATGGTCAAGAGCTAGTGTCGAAGAGAGCAAAGACCATAGAAATGACCGAATGATGGCGCAGTTTTCCAAGAAACGTCTCTGGAAAGGCTCGTCAATAAACAACAACAACATGGCCTGTACTGTTATCGACCGTAGAAATGACTTCAAAATGTTGAAAACTTTGCACGAAAACATGAACATTGAACATTTTGACGCCATTTCTATGGTCGATGAGAGTATAGAGCGTGAAAAATTGTTATCGATTTGTTAAATCGCCGAGCACATCATGAGTGAATTTTTTTTGAAAACCTAAATATAATGCGTGATTTTCTCTTGCCACACCTTCTCAACCGACGTATCTAACTCCTTCTCTCTCGAGTTTAGCCCGTCATTTTTTTGTTGCAAATTGGTAAAAAATGAATCAAAACTGGTGCTAGAGGGGGGTAACGTGTTTCAACAGAACCGAGCGTTGGACTGGTAATCCCGGAAGCCCTAAATTCAAAACCGCTAGCTGGATTTGTTCTCGCCGGGTAGTAGCGGAGCATGCTTTGCCTCCTTAGTTGGGATTCTAAATCCTGTTATGTTTATTTGAATTACTGGCAAGCAAATAACTCACCCTGGCCTATAACGATATCATCAGAAGACTCGCATGGCTATAGCAACACTTTGATTATTGATGATTTTCCTTTTTCCTCAGGTCTTCGGAGATGTTTTCTCAGGAAGTAGTTTGTCCCCTGTGCAATGTGCAGTGCAGGCATCCCAGGGGAGTGGCTATGCATCTGAGAAGTGCTTTACACAGGGAACTGGAAGAAGAGTTATATCTGGACTAATCTAGAGAACACTGGATTAGCTAAAGCACAAGACCCGTTGTTTGGATTTAGTGAAACTGCTGAGCATGGGTTGGTGCTCTGTCTGATGTTAAGTACAAAGTCATGATGTAGAAAGAGCTACGGAATAGCTGCCCATACGACAGGAGATTTTGAAGATAAAAGGGAAACAGACTGCGTTTGTTTATTAGTGAGATGGTAGTGTCTCTTTAAGGAGTGCTAGGTTGTTGGTGCAAAGGAAGGTCGAGCGTTCCAGTTAAGGTTGGCTGTATAGTATTAGTGACTGTTCTAGTGAGTGTGCTGCATTTGTTCGGAGCCCATCAATGCAAAGGGAATTGGAAAATGCACAGTTGGAAACTTGGCAAACGTTTCAGGTGGTTAACAGAGCTTGATGACTGCATTTCAACGGCTGGATTTGCTCTCTTTGGGTTGAGCGTAAGTGTTACTGAGCCTTACTGAGTGTTAATGAGTAGATCATCAATGTTGAGTTTGGAATTAGCGAACGTTTATGCCAAGCAAAATCGTATGATGATGATGATGAGAGGGAGGAGTTGGAGGAGGACGGTGATGATGGTAATGATGACGAAGATGATGATGATGATGATGATGATGATGATGGTGATGATGGTGACTGGGAGAAGGAGGACGGTTATTTAAAAGATTTCAATATAATGCGTACGTCACCTTTTTGATATACTTCTCTAGTATTTTTTGATGATGATGATGTTATACCAGCACAAAAGAATTAAGAAGGTTGGGAAATGTACTACCGTATTATTCAATATTAATCGTCATGTGAATGATTAGTTAAAAAAACTGCTGTGAAATTTTTCGTTAATAGCCTTGTGTTGAAGTTTAAAGGATAAAGTTGGAGGGGATCTTCCATTTTCAGTCGAAACGATGTTATTTGTATTTATGATGATTGTAAGGAAAGTCTTAAGATACTTTTGTTAAGATTATATTGTTGCTGTTCTTAGAAGACATTTTGCATGGAAGCTCCTACTTCTAATATATGAGATTAAGGAAAGAATATGAATCTTACAGGTCACTTAAAAAAGTTATTGCACTTTATTATTATTAACTCATATAATTTATAGTTTATCTGTTTCTTGTGAGTTGCTGAGATGAAGAAATAATGGTTATATTTTAGAATTGTGTCGTCTTGCGTCGCAAGGTTCAATGCGTAGAGTCCAGGCAATTTCTTTTTCTTTCATTTTTTTTTTTTGCCACGGGAATTTACAGTTCCACAGTATAAATCGAAAGAAATTGCAAACATGGTATCGTCTAATAATAAAGCTGATGTTCCGTTGTCTTTCAACCCAAGCGCATTTTTGATAAAAGTTGTTAACTTAACTAAGAATTTACTCCATACTTTCATTAGGCAAGAACAAAGTAGATGAAATATACATACATGAAAAAAAGTGATAAAAAAGGAAAGGATTAATGTCCGAAAAGGAAAGGGCAAGAATGGGACACTTAGAACCATGTGAGGTGCCTCTAAAGGAAATAAAAGAATTGGTATGTAGTGCCCTATTCCACTTTCACGATATTCTCAAAAGTGGTTTCCCAGGGGCGAACCTCATTCAAATCTTAAACTCACCACAGTGGCATAAGTAGGGTGCGGCCTTCCCATGAGCTCTTAAGCGCTCTCTATATTATTCAGGAAGATTATACCTAAAGCCTGACGACGCGAGAAGCGTGGTAAATGGCGTATTGACGAACACTACAGTAACAGCCCGCGTATAAGAACCTGAATTTTTCAATTTAGCCTAAATAGGTTCTTATATAAATGGTACTTAAAGCAAATTTAGGCTACCGAGGTTCTTAAAATAGGTTCTTATATTTTCATATGAATGTCACCTGAATATACTATATATATTATAAATATCATCTCATAATACAGTATAAATCATTTATTTGTACCATAGAGCAATGCCTATATAGGCAGTTCAGTGCAGGTACAGCATATGTCCTAGATGCTGATCTTAATTCAGCAGTTTCTACCTATACACTTTTACAGCAACCCCACTGATAAGAACCTAACTTAAAATTTTAGCCTAAATAGGTTCTTATGTGGAGGGGGCTTAAAATGAAAATTTTAGCCTAACAGGTTCTTAAAACCCAGGTTCTTATACGCGGGCTATTACTGTAGTTACCTCTTCTTTGGCTTTCGTCTTGTTTAGTAACCAAACTGGTCCGGCAGGTAAGTGTTTGAAATTTGAATATAAAAAATAGACAGAGTAATAAACAGGTCTTTTTCTCGTTGGAATTTGTGAATTTATTACTTCAGATGGAGGCTAAGCCTGTTAAAAAATACGTCTTCACTTCTTTAATCCGCGGTCATAACGAACTCGAAACTGGACTATTCCCTCCACCCATAAAGAAAATAAGCATGATATACATAACATTGAAGAACAGAACTACAGCAAATACCAGGCCATACCTTGACGAAAATCTAAATCGGGCTTCCCATATTCAACACATAAACAACAAAATATCTAAACACTAGATAACTCATTTTCTTACTTTAAACCCTCAAACAAATGTATTACTCGTCGACCTCTACCTGCATTATGGCATATAGGAATTGGGAAAACAGACTGAGAGTCAAACAACAACAAACAAAACAAAAGAAATCTTTACGCTGCATATTTTTAGACAAAATTCGACAAAATGGGGAAAGTAGTGCATCCTACTTCAATCTTCACAACCCATGCTTTCGGTGTGGGAACAAAACATCAGGCATTAATTAAAATGGTTGATTCAAGGGTTAATTAGAAAACCTTTTTACTCTTGTATTGGCCCTGATATTATTTCCACCTTCAGAATGTAAAAGATTCTGACTACCATTTTGCCTAAGCAATAAATATGAACCAATCTCCGAATACTTGCGACCATTTCATGTTGGAAATTACGAAATTATATGTGAACCGTTAAGTGTTACAGGGTTAATAACATAGTATTTACAATAGTTATTGATATCGTTGTTTGACTTATGCGGCAAATATATATTACACGGCAACTGTCATGCGTTTTTATCTCATGCCGTCGTCGATTTTTAGTTCCCGCCCGGCGAGTAAAGGTGATTTTACCCGAGGGAATTTTGAACTGAACACGGCGTAGCAATGTTGGAACAATGTTGCAACCGTTGGAAATAATGTCGCAACAATGTTGTAATGCTGCCTTGCGCTAAAAATCGTCGTTGCGAATCGTCCCGCGTAACATCACCTTAAGGCGGTGCTTGGGTGAATCCAGACATTTTTGAAACCGCGTATTTTTTTTAGCCGGATTCGTGTTAATAGGGTCTTGAACCATTCTGGAAAGTGTTTTGAAAAAGCCGGATGCGGTTTTAATGAGCTGATTCATGGGTTTCATGTGAACGGAAGGTCGATTCGCGGCAAAAAAAAAAAAGGGTTTCAAAAAGATTCGGTTTTAATGAGCAGATTCATTGGTTTCATGTGAACGATGTGAACAGAGGGTCGTTTCGTGGAAAAAAAAAAAGCGGTTTCAAATATATCCTGATTCGTGTGGAGGTGCCTTATACGCACCAATATTACGAATGCGTTTTGAATATGAAAGCAAAAATGGTCTGTTATGTTTATTTATTTTTGGATTTAGTTCGCAAAGTGAACTTTTAAGTGATATTCTGTACTTTATTTGGCAATTGCAGATTGAAATTTCTAGAGAATATAGAACTGGAAAATATTAAGCCCTTTCTTGAAGTAAAGAAAAAAAATTCTATGGCTAGAAATTGCCCTTGACAAATGAGTGGCGTCCTGCAGTTTTTATTTTTAAATCCTGTCTGATTTATTCGAAATCAAATTTCATTGCCTGTGCTGCTGTTAACACAGGCCAATTGAGATTGTAAATTATTCACATCTCTGAGAGAGATCCGGAAAACAAGAAAAGAAGCGCGTGAGCGAGACAATCTAAATATAATTACATTTTTGTTGGCAAGAATCTTGACTAATCATAAATTAATTTAGACGAAATCTGCCATTCAAAGTCATATCATGTGGTAAAATCATTGTCTATGCAAATTTTTAATATTTGTTAAGTGCGATTTTTGTCGTTAACTTCTAATGTTACGGTTGGTAACGAGACCAAGTAACAATCCAGGGTTTATCAAAGAGAGACTTTAAAGTGACTGATTTTAGTTTTCCCAGTCTTGGTAAGAGAATTTTTGAAAAACGACGCTTGAAGCTGGTTTTTAATTAGCGTGATTGATCTACAGTGTATTGTAGCCCCAAAAGAAAAAACTGCGAAGTCAAAAGAGATGTTCGTGCAATTATTCATTATGTAATTGAAGCAAGCGCCAAAGATAAAAAAATAGTAATGCAGCATGGCTGAATTTGCGAATTTAAGTTCAAGTTTTCCTGAGCAAACAAATGGTCAATGCCGAGGACTAGTGGCACAAAATGTCTTTTTAGGAGTGGTGTGTTTTCTTGGAATCACCACGAATTCTATTCTTCTCGCATTCATCTGGAAATATCGTCATGGCACTTTGACGCCCGACAAAATGCTCCTCATGAACTATGCCGCTGTCGATCTGATCGCTTGTCTTGTCAGCCTCCCACTTCATATCACAGCTTTAAATGGCAGCTTGGACCTTGCAGACAATGACGGTAGGATACTTATTTTAATCCATTCATTCTATCCAGTGTGTATCTGTGCAATTGGGAATACTCCGTGATCGTTTCAAGGGACTGAAAAGCTACATGTAAAGGTACATGTTGGCTAGGGAAGTGCATTTAACGACATTGAGAAATATTTAGGAAATCTATTGGAAACGACGGCGACAAGCATTTTAGCTGTAATTCTGAAAGATTTTGAAGTCTTACAGTTCTACGAATGAAACTGTTTAATTAGCAAAATTTGATCTCTAGGGTTGGTTTGAATTGAATACAGTGTACTTCCAATTTTTTAGCCACAGAAGAACCTGTTTTATAGATCGACTTTTTATGTTACTGGGGCCCGATCTGTGACTGTTCAAATGAATACTACTAAGCAGTACTTTTCTGTTATATTGTTTGTTATGCTATGCAAGATGATTCTAAACTGAGTCTGTGGGCGAAATCCTGCGGCATTTAAATGAATGCCACTGAACAGTTCTTTCCCTGTGGTACTGGTTGTTATACTGTACAAGGTCACTCTAGCCTTGATTATTGTGTCGGCGAAATATTCTTTTTCAATTAATGAGATATAAAATGAATTCTACTGAAAAGTCGGGTAAGCCCGAATAATGTGTGGCGTTAATATTCGTTTGTAGTAATAGTACGAAGGTGTGCGGGTCAACTTGCATCTAAATAAAACGCAAAGAATTCCTCATAATTCAAAGCTGGCCTGCTAATAAAATTGTTAATTGAGACTTCTGAATACACTTTCCGTTGCATGTTTTTTTTAGAGCATGGCACAAGAAGGCTATCAAATGAAAAACTAAGGTTATTTGATGCGTGTATCTGAGTCTATGACGAAAAGCAAACGACGTCATTTACTCAAACACTCTTGGTTTGTCATGTTACCTGCATTTACAAAAAGCATTTGATTCAGTTTAATTTCAAGCGCGTGGGCTATTCACTTGTTAATTGTCACGTATACTGAGAGTTAGATTTCCCGGAAAGATAGTTCATTGTTACTAGAACTAATAATGTATAACCAATTAACAACCACGAATTATAATCATTTCCTGTTCTTTTGCGGCGCAAAGCTGAATCTGATTTCCTATGTCAATGTACCCTCTTACCACAAGGCTAAACTCGTATTTCACCGTGTTCACTCATTAGTTCCTAGTTATTTTTCATTATATTTTACTAGATTTTCGAACATTCACAATTATTCTACAAGGCAAAGTATGAGGCTATCCGTACCAAGCGTTAAACAGAATTTTGGGAAAAGGACCTTTCTTTTTACTGGCGCAAAAATTTTTAACAAGCTCCCTTTAAACATTTTGAAGAATGAAAACATTCAAACGTTCTGCCTCTGAGCAAGACATTTCTTTTTATCATAACTTTGATAACTTTTTTTAGGCTTTAAATGTGATTTTGCATTGTATTTTCAGGTTTTTTAATGTACTTCTTAAGGTGGCTCCGTAATTAATACAAGAGCATTTTGATGTTACAAATTTTCCGTCATAACTTTTTCGATTTTAACGCGATGGCTGCGAAACTTTGCAAAGAACAACAGATATCATTCGGCAATAATACGAAATATTCCGATTTCATTGATGGTAAATATTTCTTGAGAAGTTAGAAATTAATGTATGTAGCCGGAGTTTGATCCAAAACTGCCGAGGGATATTTTAAAAATGTCGAGAAACAAGTCATTCGAGGTCAGAGCAAGGTTTTGAGCAATTTATAGTGCTTCTAAAACTGAAAAGTACCTTTTAAAGAATAGCACGATAGGCAATCGGCTTCTTTTTTCAGAATTAGCAAACATTGAATTTACTTGTCCAGAAAATTGAAACTGGTGTCTCCTTCTTCCTGATAGTAATTTATTTTTGAAATTCCAAAACAATTTCACAGCTGAATTTTGAGCAACTTTTAGTTACGGACTTCTGCTCCAACGATTTTTCTGAAATTCCTCTGGCATATTTAATATATCAATTAAAGCCGATACCAGAAATTTCAGTAAAAAATATCAGCAATTTTTTTTTTACTAGACGCGATTTTCTTTGAACAGTAGGATCCTTTTAATTTCTAATTTCTCAAGAAATATTTACCATCAATGAAATCGGAATATTTCGTATTATTGCCGAATGATATCTGTTGTTCTTTGCAAAGTTTCGCAGCCATCGCGTTAAAATCGAAAAAGCTATGACGGAAAATTTGTCACAGCAAAATGCTCTTGTATTAATTACGGAGCCACCTTAAATTCTATTATTGTATTTTTATTAGTCTTTTTAAATGTAATAGTTCATGAAAATTCTTGATGTAAATTAATTTTTAAGATACAGGACCCCCATGGAGATCGGCCTTAGAGCTGACTGAGCTACCCCGTGTAAATAAAATTTTACTTACTTACTTACTTTCTTCGGAAGTGGAGCCAATGAATATGAAAATGAAATGAGATCGCCGACGTGCGTTTCCCTGGGAAAAAATGTGTAAAAACAATGAAGAAAATTGGAAATGTTTCGAAAAGCCCCTTGATAAAAATGAACCAGAGATTGGTTTTTTGTGTCTGAACTTTCTCTCTGCACACAAACTGATAGAAAATTCGCAAAGAAAATCGCATGCAAATTGGACGCAAATTTGCATTCATACCGTTGTAAATATTCGAAATCGTAAAAAATGTATTGCCGATAAGGTTGTTGCAAATATTGGCGTTTCAGTTAGAGACTAAAGAAAATTTTTGAATGTTCCAAACACAGCTGAGTAGTTGCATCGAGTCGGGGACTCAGGATAATAAAAACAGTTTGATAAAAAACCCAAGGAGATAAATAATAATATGATTATGATTATGTGATCATAAATCCTCTATAATAGGTGAAAATTTAAATTATTTACAGTCTATTATTTACAATCTTCAACACCTTCATGTTTGTAAAAATAATCAGTACTCAACCTCGTCCCCAGGTTTTCTCAGTTAACGGTGCATTAACCTGCAAGAAGGCTGCACTTTTGACGTCATCTCATTAAACGCGAAATTCTTCCAAATTTGGTCATCAGTAGCTGGTTATGGTGAATTTTGCGTGCGCTTTTAGCCAATCAGGATCGGGGAAATATTTGAATGAATGATAAAGACAGTTACTGCACTGATCGAAAAACATCCTCGGTTCAACTTATTATTGTGCCGTAGGGATGAAGTAACGTTCCGATTGCAGTGTTTAACGGGGACTGATCGGTTATTGATTGAAAATATGAGATGATGTGTGAAAAATACTTAAGTAGAAATCGAGATTTTGAACTATTTTATTAATTAAGATTTCTAACTACATTGTAACCACTGCTTCGTAAGGTGTGATACGAGGCCGAAAAAGGTTCGTTATATAAACTGCTCTGTTTTGCTTCAAACTCTAGATAACTAGAGTTTGCTTTCAGTTCGTCTGATAACTCTCCTAACTTAGATCAAAAATCTCATTCAGTAATTGTTTAATATGTGGATGCAAATTCTTGGGAAGCTTGACAATATTCGTAAACTAAAATTTTCTCTTACCTGATTTTCACAGTTTGTTTGGCAAGGTTCTTCACAATGTTCACGTGCTTTGCCGTCAACATTATGACGTTAGCCACCATCGCAGTTGACCGCTATGATGCCATTTGTTTAGCACCAAACCGTAAGATAACCTGCAAGAAAACAGCATATTATCTTGTATTTATCTGGCTGTTTTCATGTTGTACCGTTGTACCCGGGGGTACCGGACACATATTGACCGCCTTTGAGGGAGGACACGTGTGCAACAGACCCGGCCGGGAAATACATACCCAAGCTCTTACTGGCAAGTCAGCCATGCTCGCCGTGGTGACTCTGTGGATCGTCCCTTCCCTGTGCATTATTTTCTACAGATTTCATGGAATCGTAAAGTACGTTCGGGAGTATTCGTCCCACCTTCGCTCCGTTCTCGGCACTTCGGGAGTACAGAAGGAGGTCAAATTGACTAAAATATGCATTGCTATGGTCGTCACTTACTTAGGCAGCTGGCTTTTGTTTGCAATTATGGTGGGACTTAGAAACAGCTATTCTTCTTTAGCAGTGCACTGCACCTACCTCTGGGCCTACTCTTTAGCTTATTCCAGCTTCACTGTTGTGCCAGTAGAATATATGATCCTCGATAGAAGATTTAGGTCTTCGATATGGCGAAAAAGGAGACGAAGATCGAGAAAGGTCTCTCCTAACCATGGAGGTGGGTCTATTCACTTCCAGGTAAGCGCGGAGGGCTTAGCACTGCGGCAACATTCGAATCACAGCTCTCTCTAGTGAATAGGAGAAAGTACCCACACATTACACAGTTGACCATGACATTTTGCTTCAGCAAATTAGAGTATTATGGTGTATACGATGAAAGCCTTCAATGGTTTAAGAAGTACTTCACGGAAAGAAAGCAGTTCGTGCACCCGCCGGGGGGGACGCCGCATATGAAAGGGGTGGGGATGCTCGTCGGAAATTTTGAATTAAACCCTTAAAGGAGACCGATCTGGGCGTGGCCCAAGCGTTTTTTGACCCCTAAAAGAGACGGAAAAAATATACATATCAAATATATATTTCTATTTTTTTTCGCAGGCAACCCTAAACGAGACCTTCACGGCTAAATATTGTGGCGTTTTGCCCAGAACACCCTAAGTGAGACCAAAATCCGAAATTTACACCCCTTAGCGAGACGACGAGCATCCCCACCCATTTCATATGCGGAGTCCTCCCCCCCCCGAGTCGTGCACATTGATTTTCAGTCATCTGAATAACTTGTCATAACTTCTGGAGTGCCGCAGGGGTCCATCCTCGGACCCCTTTTATTCATTGTCCACATTAATGACCTACCACGTTGTGTCAAACACTGTTTTGTAAATATGTACGTTGACGACAGTTTTATATCTTGCTGGTCCAACCGTACACAGTTTATTTTTTTACAGTAACCAAGAACTTCAGTGTGTATCTGAATGGCTAGAAGACAATAATCTTGTTCTCAATATTTCAAAAACTAAGTGTGTACTATTTACATCTCAAAGGCATAAAGAGCGCGATTGCATTTTAAATCTTAATCTTCTCGGAAAGTCCATATCTTGCGAAACTACTTTTAAATACCTAGGCGTGGTGTTCGACAACTTTATGACTTGGAAGGCTCACGCGGACTATGTGTGTAGAAGGGTGGCCTCAAGAGTTAGTATCCTGGGCCGTGTTGGAAGTTTCGTCACAAAAGAGGCAGAAACACTTGTTCACAAAGCGTTTATTCTTCCATTATTTGATTACTGTGACATTGCCTGGAGTAACCTTCTACAGCAAGATATAGATCGCCTACAGCGCCTATAGAATAGATCTGCACGGATTATCACACTTTGCTCTCGCTCATCTGAAGCAAAAGAGCAGCTGCACTGGCCGACTCTTTCCAGCAGACGCTCTTGCCACAAGACTAAACTCGTTTTTCTCTGTGTTCACTCATTAGTTCCTAGTTATTTTTCATTGTATTTTACTAGATTTTCGAACATTCACAATTATTCCACAAGGCAAAGTATGAGGCTATCCTTACTAAACGTTAAACAGAATTTGGGTAAAAGGACTTTTCTTTTTACTGGCGCAAAAACTTTTAACAAACTCCCTTTAAACATTGTGAAGAGTGAAAACATTCAAACCTTCTGCCGCCGAGCAAGACATTTCTTTTTATCGTAACTTTGATATTTTTTGAAATTTTAAGCTTCAAATGTGATTTTTCATTGTATGTTTGGGCTTTTTAATGTAGTTCTTAAAATCTATAATTGAATTTTTATCAGGCTTTTTAAATAAAACAGGTCATACAAATTCTTGATATAAATTAATTTTTTAAGATACAGGGCCCCTATGGAGACAAGCCTTAGACCTGAATGGGCTACCTTGTGTGAAAAAAGTTTTGCTTTACTTTACATCTTGGCCTGTTGGGCCTAACGAGAAATTATAAAAAACTCTCAAAGTTTTGACCCTAACCCTAAGTCCAACCCTAAACCCTTACCATAACCCTAACCCTAACCCTAACCCCTGACCTAACACTAACCCTAACCCTAACCCTAACCCCTAACTTTAACGCTAACCATGGAAAAGGGGAAAATTTGCGAATTTTTGAAATCGATGTTTTTACAGTCTCAAAAGACTAGTTGTCTTTCTAGAAAGTTACCAAACACTTCCTCTTGGCTTCTTTGGCCTAACAGGAATGGATAAAGAAATTTCAAAACTTTGACCACAACCATGGACAAACCCCTTTGAAAAAAGGCAAATTTTTCAACTATTTGAAATCGATGTTTTTGAAGTCTAAAAAGGTTATTTTGCTATGTAGAACGCCACCAAACACATCTTCTTGGCCCATTTGGCCTCAAGAGAAAGGATAAACAAATCTTAAACTTTTGACCAAAAAGATGGAGTAACCCCTGTGGAAAAAGGCAAATTTTTCGATTTTTAAAGTCCATGTTATTATAGTCTTAAAGGCTAGTTTTCTATGTAGAACGCAACCAATCACTTTCTTGGACTCTCTGTCTTAAAAGAATATGACTAAATTTCAAAATTTTGACCAATACCATAGACTAACCCCTTTGGAAGAATGCAAATTTGTTGACTTTTTTAAATCAATGTTTTTATCGTCTAGAAAAGCTAGTTTTCTATTTAGAACGCCACCAAACACTTTTTCTTGGCATATTTGGCCTAAAGAAAAGAGATGAAGAAATTTCAAAATTTTGACAAAACCATGGACTAACGTCCCTAACCGTAACCATAACCTTCGGAATGTTTACTTTTCAACCAAAGTGACAGAGACGAAAAGAAGAAGAGGAAGAAACAAATTGTTATCTGAGCCAAAATTTCGAAAGATGGTGATTAATGTCCATTATAACGAGGGTAAGAACAATACAATTGACCACTCCAGAAATACCATAACATACCATACTGTTCTTTGTTTGTCACCCCGAAATTTTGCATAAGCATTGTTTTCAGTTTCTCTTGGGGCCATTTTAACTCCCAAGAGAAACTGAAGACAATGCTTATGCAAAACTTTGGGGCGACAATCAAAAAGCATTATGGTATGTTATGGTATTTTCTGAGGGCCAATTGTGCTGTCGGGACCGAGAGAGGTGTCCGTAAGCCATAATAGCTGGAGTTTTGTATCAAAATGTTCATTTGTTTTATAATTAATAAACAGTGCTGGTTGCGCGCGGCACATTCATTATTCTCCATGCACATGGTTTTGTGTTTTGTGGTTGTTTTATGACTAGGTAAATTAGAACAGAACAGCAATTGATAACAGACATTTTTTCCTTAACTTTTGCTTTATTACTTTTCACTTTGTTGCGCTGTTCTTCCATAGAGGAATGTTTTATAGCCAATATTCATTAACAGCGTAATCAAGCGTACATTTATTTGTTCCAACCATTGTTAACTATATTCTAACGGACGTTCGAAGAGTCCGCATATACTTCAGTTCCTGTGAGTCATCGACCCGTCAAGTCCAAACAATGGGAAAATTCCTCCAATGGATGGTAAATCTGTTTATTTCATCTTAAACTCCATTTCAAGTGTTCGATGTAACCATATCAAGACTCTCACGAGCCTTGTTGTACAACTACATCACGTGACTTGCGCCTCAGCACCGTTCTATCAACGGTCCCTTTAGAACGTTTTACTTTAACCTGCCCAGGCTTCTTAGAATGTCTTGCTTGCTCTTTTGGCAGGTTGCGAACTTCAATACTTTTCAAACACTTGTTTTTTCTCGCCGCTTCCTAGGGAGAAAAAAAGTTGCAACCTTCATTATTTTATTTTTTTCAATTGGACTTTGCATTTAAAACTGCAGACGAGATGTCTCAGTATATTTAAGGAGTGTTACCGTAAAATTCCGAAAATAAGCCCCGGGACTGATATTTTTCAACGGCCCATTTTTGTGTGGCTTGTTTTAGGAGGGGCTTATCTACGGAGGAAATTTGCGTTTCAAAATCAATAGGGCTAGCCCTATAGTTGGAAATAAATTTACCGTTTTTGCTTTTGTTTTACTTTGTATTTGAGGGCAATTTCAAGTACAAACCCCCGGGGGCGTATATTTGGAGGGGCTTATACATGGAGGGGCTTATTTTCGCAATTTTATGATATGCTGTTTGCAGCTATTCACAACTTTTAACTTTTTAGGGTGTTAGTGAAATTATAGTGTTTGAGACCCCTCTCGATTTAAAGTTTAATAAATTCAAAACCATTCAAGCTATGACGGACCAACTTAGCGACTTCGCTGCAAATTTATCTGGAAAATTTTTTAAGGCGTCGTAACGCTTCATCAAATTTATTATGACTGTTTATATAATCCGGGCATTTTAAAGCCTAATTCGAGAAACTGCTGGGTTCAAAATTCAACAGTGTCTATTCCTGATGAGAAGTGCATCGTTACGGTGGTTGTATCATAAGCGGTTTTAAGATATAGAGGGGGCCTCCAAGCCCCCACGTCGAAGGAGCGAAAAAAGCTCGGTCTGAAATGGGGTAACGTTCGGGAAAAATAACTTGATGATAAAATTGCAGTTTTGCGTCAAACAAGCACTCAGCCAAATATTACAAATACCAAAATTCAAGTAGGAAAACAACTGATACCTTCCTTAACGAGCTTTAAAAAAAAACCCAGCAAACAATCAAGAAACACATCCATCTATCCGTGCCTTGTTTTGTATTTGCTGTGCCATTTATACCTTCTTTTAATATTTTGAGGGGGTTATTTTTATGTTTCACTCAATTTTGTGGCACTTGCTTCTTTCTGAATTTTGATAAATTTTGTGACACAGCGCCTTTGTAAGAGAGATAACTGTACTTATCTATACTCTGATACTAGATACTAGCTGCCAACCTTTAAAAAAAAAAAGAAAAAAAAAAACAATTCAAACCTCGATTGCCAGGGCCATTCTCACATCTCTGTTATGTGACATTAGGCTCGTGGCCATAGCGACGTCATCCTGCCTCGGAACAGTCCTTACGCGACCAGTTCTTCCCACGCGGTGAATATAGTCCGTGACACTTACTGGAAAGTCGAAATTGATCACATGATTCACCTGTTTAAAAAGATATCGAAGTTATATTTAAATCAAGTTTAACTCACAAAACCAAAGTCAGTGGCAAGCAAAAACGTTTTTAATCGTACTTGTTGATACTCGTTTCAACACTTTGTTTAACGTTTTTTGATAAACGCTGCGTAAGTGTAAAGGACCTTCACAGATTAACATTCATATATTCATTCATTTATTCATTCATGATCAACATTCCACCATTATGAACTTGAAAAACGAATCTTTGTCACATCGGCGTTAAGAGCAATGAAGGTGAGTAAATGGGAAGAACGAGGGAAGACGTGGAGCTGGTGAACAAGTCTTCTGAAGAAGACAAAGTTAGCTAAACGGTAATATTTAGCGTACGTGCAGACCTGTGCAGTTATCTTGGCTAAACTCTATAGAGCGTTTTCACTCACGCGGCCATCATCTATGCAAATTTATTGGGACAAAAGAAAGCATTTGCATAAGAAAAGAGTTCAACTCCCACAGGATTGGTTTGGGACACCAACATGGCCGCCGTTTCATTGTTTTAGGACACCAATATGGCCGCCGTGACGTCACGTGAAAACACTCTATACTATCAATACAGAAAAGCAGTGATGACGTCACAAAAACGACATCTTACGTTAGTATCTAAGCCTCTGGACCCTACGTCAGTACAAACAAGAATCCGCTCTTTTTCTTCTTGAAAATCTTTGAACAACTTACTTCTTTCCTACAACAGGTAAGGCAGACAACAATTAATGCATCCAGTCATGCAATTAAAAAATGCACAAAATTGCCTCGGAGGAAAGGCAAAGTCTATTAATGTCGAGTACAAGAGTTACGGACAGTTTCATGAATTTAAGGTGTATGGGATGAAATTCTATCTCCTCCCCATACACACCAAGGCGCTATTTAATTTACCCTATGAATCAACCAAACAACCAAACAAATCCACGAGCTATGGTGAGTCAAAACGAGATCATCATAATGAGATCAAGCAAGTGCCGTATTGAGTGAACGTACCCACAAACTACGTTACACAAAGAGGGCGGTTGTGATAATGAATAGGAAGAAAGGAAACAAACAGGGTAGGTCTGGACGCGCAACCCCCCTCGCTAGATTTACACGCCCTTCGCCACTGGGTAGATCCCACGGCTCCATGGGATAGGTCTGCGTGCCCATCCCCACTGTGTAGTCTGCATGCCCTGATCCCCATTGGGTAGGTCTGCAAGCCCTGATTCCAACTGGGTAGGTCTCCGACCCCACTATGTAGGTCTGTATACCCATTCCCATTGCGAGGTCTACGTTCAAACTGGTAGGGGTGGGTAGGGTACGCTCTGAACCCCACTAGGTAGGTCTGCTTGCCCACCCCCTATGGAAGGTCTGCAAGCCCATCCCCACTTGGTAGGTCTTCTTGCCCACGCCCTATGGAAGGTCTGCAAGCCCATCCCCACTGGGTAGGTCTGTGCCCGTGAAATTGATAGACTACTTCCAAGTTCCTCTACCTCAATAGCAATGGTGCTGTGGAGTTTGATATGTGAGATGCCGTTATTTGTGAGATAATGTCCTATAAAATCACAGCTTGGTGTAGTGTTGCAGAACACAACAGTTCGTCGATTGTGCAACGACAGGTCTTCTCTCAGAAGTTCTAAAAGTTGCTCTGCATGGAAAGAGAGAAACAAAAAAGGTCCTTAATAGCAAAAAAAAACCATTGTAAATATCCAAAAGGCTGATTTGTAAGTAACGATTGGCTGCATAAACTCCATTCAATTAGAAGCTCTGTACTCAGAAGTATTTTTATTGGTTGTGGTGCTTGTTATGTTGTACAAGGTGGTTCTAATTTTTGAGACTATAAATGAATCTTAAAGTAAATACATTCAAGTGAAAGCTACTGAGCAGTAGTTTCTTGTGTTCCCGTTTAGTACAGTTTATTATCCTGTACAAGGTGTTCCTCTATTTCAGGTCTGAAAATAAAATGCTTGAGCCTGCGGATGAAATCCTACAATAGATTTCAAATAAAGGCCACTAAAACAATAACTTTTTGTGGCAATGGTGCCGCCTATATTTCGTTGATTTGTTACTTATCGATTAAATCATTTTATAATTTTTTTCTGTCGGTGAAAGCCATCAAAATAAATAAAAATTTTGTATTAATTACCTGGTTTATCATTTTGTGGGATTTTCACAAACTTGTGTCTCACATGTGGCAGGATACGGTGATGGCTAGACGTACAAGCCTGTAAATGCTGGAGAGAAGAGGAGAGCAACATTTAAATGGTAAATGTTCACACTTGAATAAGAACCTGAACATTATTGCTAAACAAGAACTCAAACTCAAATATAACCTTTGAAGACTCTAACTTGTCTTTTAAAGGGAAAAACTTAAGAAACACGTCATGCGACTCATACGTTCATTTCTACTCTTGCTAAAAGGCACACGTTTGTCCACTTTTGACAAAGGTTTATCCACCGTAGGCACCGATAAAGGCTTCCCGCGCTTTTGATCACTTTCGCGTTTTCCATAGATCAGCTACACTTTTCCTTACACGTTACCACGGTTTCCAGTGTAACACATTTCCCCCCGTTCTCATTGATCAGTAGCCACACGTTCTCCGCGCCTTCCATTGTCTACACGTTTTCCCACTCTTTTTTTCCGCCCATGGACTTGGCCGCCCGCTTTAGCTACCTGTCTTGAAGAAGCATTCTGCCTTACCAAAAGGTGCTAAACTTTTCTTTTGACCGATATGCTCTATCTACCCTACCGGTAGAATATCTTGGAGTGTATCCTCGAAAAATTCTTCTGGTAATGTCGCACAGACAACAGTAACTTGCGCGTCTTTAGGTAAACTAGAGCGATGGGACGGTTTGTCTTGTCTTATCTGAGAACAGAATAAATACATGACAAATGCATCAACTACTATTTGCTAAAACAGGCCATACAGAACTTTGAGAGAGAATGGACACAAGCTTTTTGGGCTAACGGTGATGTTAAACGGGACGATTCGCAACGACGATTTTTAGCGCAACACATCGTTGCAATGTTGGAACAATGTTGGAACTATTCGAAACAATGTTGCAACAATGTTGTAACGTTGTGTTGCGCTAAAAATTGTCGTTGCGAATCGTCTCGTATAACATGACCTTAAGTCTTATGGGCCGGATTGTTTGAGAAACCAATGAGCTGTGATTGGTTAATTGTTGCTCTTGGAAACCATCGATATCACAAATCCTCGCGCCAGAACTGCTGCTCCCGAGAAGACAATTGTGAAAATACTGATGCAGTTCTATGAGTCTGTGCACGAAATCCTGTAGCATTACAATAGAACAGAAACCTCTTTCGTTCTACTTTTACATGGTTTCATTTGGTTTGGGATATTTACCGAACATTTTTGAATTTCAGCAACAGCGGTACTGAAAGGCTATCACCGAAGACTACCTAGCAACCTTTCCCTGAAGTTCAGCTTATTTCCTCTTACAATTACATTAAGCGTGTATTGCTTTTCACCATGTAGGAAATGTGGAGGACTTGAGGTTTGATGCTTCTAAGTAAGACAAGTCTCAGAAAACGCAACCTTTATGTATACTTACGTTAATTGTTTCAAGAAGTTGCATGGTGTCGTTTTTGAAGGTTTTGTCAAACATAGTATCAGCTTCGTCAATTACCAGGTAAGACACGTCCGAGAGAAACAATCGACCTGAAGGAGATAATTAAAGATCACAAAACATACTGAACATTTTGAAAAAAGTCAATGGGAGCCTGAATAGACGCGGTGCAAAAAAACCTAAGAAATGGTCAAAAATTTGAAGCCATTTGAACGGTGAAGTCATTTATCACTACGACAAGAATCCTTCAGGGTTTTGCTCTCTTGTGCAAATTACGGCCTCTGTTATTTAAACCTCACTGGGTACCAAATTCAGATATGAAAGAGAAAACGAAAAGGATTCTGGCCGTAGTAGTGAAATAATGCCATCGTGCAAAGGGCCTTTGTCACACGGCGGCCATTTTGTCCCGAGAGACTAAAGTTGCTTTGTTTTACCTGTCTAGCCTCGCTCCCAAGTTTTTTACTGCGAGGTCGAGGCTGGTAAAACAAAGATTTTTCAGTCTCTCGGGACAATATGGCCGCCGTGTGAATAAGGCCCAATGGCCTACCACCGTTGAACATGGGCGATTTTAACGAAACATATTGCGATCATTAAACTTCTTTACCCTTTACCTCTTTCTAGAAATTCCAGTAACGTTCCTGGTGTTCCGACGAGAAGATCAACTGGAGATTCAAACCCTGACTTTAAAACTCTCTAAGGAAAAAGAAAACAAAATACAACAACAGCAAAACACAATTCATTAACCTTTTTTTTGAGATGCTTCGAAGGAGAAATTACGCCGTGTTATAAACGCATTGTCCACCCTAGATAATGATACTTCGTTTAAGTATAAAATCACTTGTAATAATGCTAAATACGAAAAGAGCTACCATGAAACACTACTTATAAGCACCGGAAGTGGTTCTAGGTTAACATATAAAAGAGACGGGCGTATGTCTGAAAGAGAGATTTTAAGCAGTATAAAATATGTGCATACAAACGAAATAAACGAAAACATGAATATTGTATAGGGCCATCCGATTTACCTACTGCTTTAGTTTCAGAACAAGGGGAACTGAATGACCTTATGTAGGGGTCACACAAATGCTGGTAACCCGTAGTTTGAATTGTAGACCACAAAAAAAGACAGAAACAAACAATTGAAATTACAAAACGAGTACGCCAATTAGCTGGAGGCAAACCAGTTGGCTATTTGCAAGCTTTACAGAGGAGTTAAATTCGGGGGGTACAAATGAGAACAAAACCAGCTAGACTATGTCACGAAAAAAAGGCTTGGACTTGAAGCACCCGGATTGCAAGTGCAAACCATTCACCGCTCAGTACCGCTGCCCCCTATAAGAACTGGTATATAGTCAATAATCATTTCCAACTTACTAGCTTTCTTCCTCCAGTTAAAAGAGCTGATCGGAAGCGTGCGTTATGAGACAACGATTTCGCCACTTTCTAAAACAAGAAATAGCATAGCTGAAAACACGTTACTTCCACTGACTGCCGGAAGTAGTTTGGTGTTTGTTAACGAATCATTGATCAGAAAACAGTAATCATAAGTGATTTGAAAGGTTTACGGGCCTAACTGATGACAGATCAGGAGGTAAAAGACAACGACCCAACTTTTTACAAGAGAAGTCTATTCTAATTTGCAAAAAGTACTCAGAAATTATCGTTATTTGTTTTCTCGCCGAGAGTTTGTCAAAAAGGAAAAATCAAACTCGTTACGCATACGTCGGAAACTGGTTTTGTCATTTCACCTTGTGATCCAAATGGATGGTGATGTATAAATTCATATTTATCAGATGCCACTTACAAAAGCCTTATGCGCTTTCTGGAGCGAAAAACAATAACAATAAGGATGACTTCACTTACTAAAACTTGGAAAGCAAGTTCCCTGTTAGGTAAAACAATAAGAGCCCGAGGTCTGTTAAGACGTGATATCACGCCCTGATCCTGCTCATCTCGCAGATGGTGAACTATCGGTGAGAGATAGGCGAGAGTCTTTCCTGTACCTAAAATTTTGATAAGACATGTAAACCATCGGTAACATAAATTTACGTTTCCCTATAATGTTTGTTGGGTACATGGTAGTCAAAAACTAGTTCCTCTCGGTTATATTCGGTATTCAACCACTTGTCACTGGAGCACAGATCAAGTTTAGAAGTCAGTTAAACTCAGTAGAATTAGAATCGTTATCTGAGTAGCCTGGACAAGCTCTATCGTCTGCGCAAGCGATGAGTGTAGTTTAAGAACAGTTGTATATATGTGGCATTGGTCTATCGAATTCGTGCGGTTAATACCGACCATGTTCCATCAGAATGTCCGCGGTGGGGATCAAAAAATGAGCACCCACGCCCTACAGGAGCGACAAGCTTACGATATAATCAAGGATCTACGATTCCTCGCCTTTCGAGCGACAAAATCATGTTTTGCAATCTGCTTATGTGGTACCCACGCAAGATTTCGTCCCCGCTACAAAAACAACAGGCCCTGTTTTTTATTGCCTCTTTGGGTATATCTATTTTACTGAACTGTAACAGTTAGTGTTAAAGAGGCGGAGATTGAGAGTCGCAGTCTAAGTCGTATTGGCATGCGCAGGGCTTACGATCTAGTGAAAATTAAAGGAACTAAGTCGAAAGTAAAGTTTTTTCCTCCTGCTTGACGTCGTTACCATAGGGAGATACTCCTCTGATATGGAACATTTAGTTACCCTTAGTATGAGAAGCTACCACAAAAGCAAAAGTTACCTGTCTGTGCGGCACATAGAACATGTTCCCGTTTGAGTATGAGAGGTATTGCCATTCTCTACAAAAAAGTCTTCATTTAGTACTAATGTATTTAGAAGACAGTAGTAACTAATGACCGCATTGTTTTGTACTCCAACCCAAGACTATTATTCCAGCCACATTAGGCTTATTGATTCCTTTTTTGCATTGTGTGGCGTCATTAAAAAAAGATCAAATTTGAGAGATTTTGTAAATATACAATATGAAAAAAAAAAACTCTTGCCAAAAATCGGCCCGTTGGTGCAAATTGGAGGAGAGACATGACTACCATTATACTCTGATGAATCTGTGCAAATATTTCTAAATTGAATTGGATTGTAACGGTTACGATTCACGTCTATTTTAGAAGGACGTATATGGAGTCATAACGCTAACGTATAAGGAGAATAACGCTATTTACATCTCCTCACCAATTTACACTAACAGGCTCATTTTGACCAAGTGGAGACTTTTTATCTTGTTCTTTCTGGATATGCCAACCTTTCCCATGATTTCTCAAAATTTAGTTTTTGTGACGTTGTGACTTCTCTTCTCTATACGCCTACTACAAGTGTTTTTGAAGCGAAGTTAGAGTGCTTGCTAAACTAAAAAATGTAATTTTCTATGTTTGCGGTGAAAAACTTCCGCACTCGAGGAAACGCAAAAACCTCTCCTTTTACACTGTATGTGTTGTCTTTTAACGTGAACATGATTATTCAAAGTGCACTGTTTTGTTGCGTCTACGATGATAAAGAAAAATAAAGATTCAACAGTGATTAAAACTGAAAATAAAACTTGACAACGTAAAGACTACAAAAACTATGGAACAAAGTTTTGAGCTATTTTCTGATGTATACCTGAATCATAGTGGGTTTTGAAATTGATAAATCCATCAATCCGTTCAGTACATCCTCTCTTAAGCGAAGGGAACGAAATGAATGACCTGTCACTTTGCTGTTTTCCTCTGATGTGAAGGCAGGGTTCTAAAAAGAATAAAAATTTGGAACTAAAACAAAAATTTTACGCTTGATAAAAAATGAAAGATGGTAAATTTTAAGCTCGGAGAAACAAATGTGCAAATGAAATGATCAGCATGTCACGAGCGTGGGACAAAGAAAAAATCTGAGTCTCCGACAGGATTTGAACCTATGACCTCCCAGACACCGGGCCGGCGCTCTATTCACTTGAGTCTTTTACAATTCTATGCTGTCGCTTGATAAATTTTACTTTCAAAATAGGAGACGGTATATTTAAAGTCTGCAAGTCTACAAAGGCCTAAAGACAGACAAAAAACCCGAGCAGTAAGCAAGTCAGTCTCTTCTTTAATTGTGAAGCTGAGTTCAGATCCTGCAAGGTAAATGCCTTATTTACCCTAATTTACATAACTAACTATAAAAAAAAAAAAACTGTTACATTTTTTTCTCGCTGAAGCACTTTTCCCATGTTTGGATATAAATTTCCAATTTCTATACCATTACCTCTGAACACGAGGGCTCAATTATTATCTCTCTGCGTCCTTTAGAAATGGAATCTTCTCCAACCGCCTTTCTTTGTTTTAGGGAAGGGATGTTAATTTTTCGCGCTTCCTGCTTGGCAAAATCTCTCCGTTTTTCCAGGTGTCTTGTAAGTGCAGTCTTCAAATCCTATTGAACAGTTGAACAACAAGTTAAATTAAATGAGCATAGTTCCTGCTTTACTTGACTACAAAAAGAAGAACAAGTCATATTAAAACAAGGTAAGAGTACCAGTTATTGTATAAACACATTAACAAGGTAAAACAGCAGTTTTTAAAGTTGATGAGGGTAATTAGGGTGACTAGGCTGGCTGGGGTGACTAGGACGTCTAGGGTAATTGGGGTGACCAGGGTAATTTAAATGACTGGGGTGACAATGCTGACAAGCTGTATTGGTTGACTAGGGTGCGTAGGGTGACAAGGGCTGGGGGGACTTGGGTGATCAAGGTGACTTGGGTGATTAGGGTCACAAGGGTGACTAGGGTGACTAGTTTGACTAAGGAGACTAGGGTGACTTGGAAGCCTTGCGTGACAAAGGTGACTTGGGTGACTAGGTTGACTTGGGTGACTAGTGTGACTTGAGTGACTTGGGTGACTAGGGTGACTTGGGTGACTTGAGTGACTAGGGTGACTAGAGTGACTAGGTTGACTTGGGTGACTTGAGTAGTGGGGTGACTAGGGTGACTAGGTTGATTTGGGTGACTACAGTGACTAGGGTGACTAGGGTGACTTAGGTGACTGGGGTGACTTGAGTGCTAGAGTGACTAGGGTGACTTGGGTGACTACAGTGACTAGGGTGACTTAGGTGATTAACGTGACTAGGATAACTAGGGTGACTAGGTTGACTTGGGTGACTATGGTGACTAGGACGACTAGGGTGACTAGGTTGACTTGGGTGACTACGGTGACTAGGGTAGGGTGACTTAGGTGACCAAGGTGACTAGGATGACTAGGGTGACTAGGTTGACTTGGGTGACTATGGTGACTAGGGTGACTTAGGTGACTAGGATGACTAGCGTGTCTAGGGTGACTTGGGTGACTAGGGTGACTTGGATGACTAGGGTGACTTTTGGGTGAGTTTGGTGTCGTTACTTGGATTACTAGGGTGACTAGGGTGAATGAAAGTAGTGTCCGATAGCCCGGGACTAGTGGATTTTGCTATTGGGCTAGTGGATTCTGTTCTTACAATGTAACTTGCCTGACGGGCAAGTGAGGCATTTTGAGGAATTCAACTTACAGAAGAAGTGTGAAATCAATTCTGTTCATCAAATAATTTTGGGGGCTAGTTGAAATGGCGTTTGGGCTAGTATTAAAGCTTGCCCGACTAGCAAGCTGTAAAAATGACTTTCTTATGTACCCTGGTTAACTGGAATGACCATCAGATAGCTGGGATGACTAAGTTGACCAGAATTATGAGAATGACTGGGTTCACTGGGATGACGAAAGATGACTCTGATACCTGGGAAGACTGGATTAAGTGGGTAGCCTGGAGATGACAGGGATGACAGAAATGACTGGTATACATGGGATGACTGGGATCAATTGGGTAACAAAATGGCGGGGAGGACTTGAATGATTGGGATGACTAGTATGCCTAGGATGACTGGGATGACAGGAATGACTTGTATGACCACGGTGACTAGGAAGACTGGGATGACTTGAATGACAGGAATGACCCAGCAATGATTTGGATGACATGGATGACTGGAATGACTGCAATAACTGGGATGACCGGATGACTGGGTTGACTGGATGGGATGGCTGGGATGATCAGGATTAATTACTGGGATAACCAGGAATGTACATTTCATATTTATGCATAGTTAGAAGATCTATAATTTAAGGTGTCTGATATTCTATGTACATGTAACAAAATAACATACAAAGAGTTCTTAACAAAGACACATGTACAGTTGAACCCTTTTCATGCAGAGACTGAAGGAAACATAAGCAATGTTTCTGAGCACTATGAAATAACAAATTTTGGCAGTCATTCAACTTGTTAACATTTTGCATGTAACTTAGTAATTTAAACACATTAGAAGAATAAGCGTGCAGGCTCATGAGCCCATACACCTGTACGTGTATTTTTATTGCTCAATAGTACATCGTTATCAAGGGAATTACCTTCAGTGGGTTGAAAGAATAGAAAATATTAGGGCTTACACCCAGGACAAAGAGAACTGTCCACAATTACAAAGTGTTCATGAAGCTTTTATTTACAAAGCAGGATTTGACTATACAGGGAAAAAAACTGACAGTCTATTTTTAACCTTCAAAATGAATGTTAAAAAAAGAATGATTCTGTTCAACCTCTTAGAAAAAGGTTGTGTAAATGGTTACTCTACAAACTTACGAATTTGCTAAAAAGTATATTGTTTAGTTCCTGGTACACTGAAGCAGACGTATATAGCTAACATACAAGTCTTCAGTCATTCTTTCTTGCTTGTAGATTAATTACAAGTCAGAGGCAGAAACCTTACAGTTTGCTAACTTACCACAGTTTGTTTTACTGGCTTCGAATGTTTAGCTTGTTTGGAACTTCTTGTAGGACTGACCCTTGATCTTGAGATCTTAGCAGCCAGGTGTGATGCCCATCTCACTTTCTTGCAGCCACAAGCCTGAAAGAGACCAGTCTCACTATCATTCAATTTACACAGTTTACATCAAACTGACAAAATTATGTTGCCAGCAACAGTGTTGGTAATTCAAACATGAGAAGCAGTAAAATACACTGGTATTTTTATGAGTAACCTGTAGGGACAAGATATAGAATAATTTGTGATGTTAATTTCTGTTATTATACATTGTACTCACTATCTGTCTTCACATTGGCTAAGACCCTACAGCTAAACTGGGAGATCAGTGCAATCTAGATTAGTCAGTTATCTGCTAGCAGATAACTGACTAATCTGTAGGTTTTGCATGCAATGCATGATTTCCAATAACAATACCAATTCAGGTTCCTAATTGCAACAGTGTGGTTGTCATGAACAAAGGAAAAAAAATCTTTTGTAAGCACATATGACAATTCCCCCATAAAAACAATGTGTAATGAGGAAGTTTGACATTTTAGTTGTACAAAGCATTATTGTAGTAATGCAAAAAAAGGGCGAAGAAAGACAAAAAGAGTGCTGCACATGCAAATTTGATTTTACTAATTAGAATTAGATCTATTGATCTCTCCGTTTTTCTGTTTATAAGTATTGTTAACCAAAGCTTCGCTTTTAGCCCTGGCTAAATCTATATACATGTATTATTAAAGATTTAATGCTCATTTACATATTCCTTTCAATTAAGTTGCACAAAGGCAGGAAATTCATCATAAACACTACAAAACGTTGTTTGTTTAGACTCATCAAACTGAAGCCAGTTCAACACCGTTTTTTGACTCTTGGTGGAAAGCTCTTTCTTTCTTTCTTCATACACCCTCCATGTGGGAGCCTTCCTTAGTGTTTGAAACTGTAGTTCTTCTTTGTCGTTATTCTCGATCTTCCATTTCCTCTTCACAAATTTTGGGCGGTGACCTTTTTCTGAAAAAACTATCCAAGCATCTCTGTATCTGATCTGATAAATGAATAAATAGGCTGCACGATGCAAATAAAAAATTAAACGAGCCTTTTGCAAAAGATATTAATATTAAGGCTGTGTCCAGATCTCCCCAGCCTGGTTACCATGAGCTCTGTGAAATAATATGCATTTTTCATGTTGTTCAAAGATGCTGTAAGCATACCTTTTAGAACAATAAATTGATCAAGACAGAATACAACGTTATGCAAAAAAGAAACAGGTGTAAGATTTTTCAATGACAGAAATTTTTACTAACCATGTCGGAATAGTAAGGCTCATTTTTAGTAACCAAACATTAGAAACTACTAACCATTGGTTAATGGGTTACCGTTAATTTCGAGCCCTGGGTTTGAATTATAGGAACCTGTATAATTGGACATTAATTTGGGCAATCAAAAAATTATATGGATACAGGATATTTAAACAATATGGATTCTGGTCAAGTGAGTGTCAAAGTGGAAAACTCTTCTCATAAAAGGGGTTTAATAATCAATATAGAAGAATACAGAGCTAAAGAAAAAGACTCTCACAAGGAATTGTTTCCATTTTTTGTTAAAAAATGTTATATCAAGCGCCATAGATACACGGGAAACCTTTCCTTTCCATCAAAGGAGGTCAACATAAGTATTTGTCATTATATGCATTTACATGTACATCAAACTGGCAACAGAGAATTAAGGATAATAAGGAAAGGTACAAATGTACACAAAATATGCACAGCTCCCAGGGGGTCTCACAAATATACCTGGCCTACTTACAGACATCACAATAACACAAGGATCCGTCTGTAAAATAATCATTAATAATTTGTCAAAAGTTGTAGTCTTACTGAAATGAAACTGGTGCGAAAAGACGCTTCCTTTACAGGAACGCGAATGCCTGATCGTAGAGATCAGTGCAGAGATATAAGCTTATGGCAGAGCTTCCAAATGCCTGAGCGGAGCTCCATATCACAGGAAAAAATAACGGATTCCCATCTTTGGATATTTTAGGGTATTAAAGAATACCCATAAAAATCCCAAATTTGGCAAAAGGAGACAAGTCCCAACCAGAAAATTCCCAACCAAGTTCCCTGATTGGGACTTGTCTCACTCTTCCAAATTTGGGATTTTTGTGAGTATTCTTTAAATACCCTAAAATATCCAAAAATGGGAATCTGTTATTTTTTCCTGTGATAGCTAAAGAAATATGGAAACCTATGGATCTGAGAAAATTTGGTTATGACATCAGCAAACATCCAAATGCAGACTGTCTGTACACCCACTACATGTAAGCCAATGTCAACTGTCACATTAGATCTTGCACAAATATTGACACTAGCCTCAGTGTTTTATTTCTTCCGCTTTACCTTCGAAAAAAAAGCTAAAAAAAGAACCCGCAAGCTTTAATTCAAAACTTCAGACATTCAAGTCTGAAAAGCTTATTTTTAGCTTTCTCTGCAGTGCGTTAATTCTGGTTAATTGTTTGGAATTGATATAAGCATACACTTTTCCGTAAAATTTGAAATCGTTTAATATTACAAAATGCAAGAAATTTTTCTTTGGTTTAATTTACCAATTTTGGAGTTAAAAGTAGTGTTTTTCATTGGTCGGTAAGCTACTAAGAAACTTATTTATGTAAGCCTGTAAAACGTAAATCTTTAGAACAACTACCGGGGGATTGTTTGCAGGTTTTGGAGGGTTCAAGATTTTACCTTGCACTTTTTAATTTTGCTAAAACTTTTTTCAGGGGATATTTAAATAAAGTTACACATGACTGGTTCATTTGCTTTGCAAAAATCTGTGAATTTATTTTTGCCTGCATTGTATCAGAACTCTCCCAATCTGGGGAAAAAACTGAGAAAATAACATTCCAACATGCTCTCTGCATATTTCAAGAAGAACCATAATAAGAATAGATTAAATTGAGATGGCAATTTGAGTTAAAAAAGTATATGATTTGATTGGCAAGGAAACGGACAAATAAAGCGAAATGTGCAGTTTTGGAATCAAAACTATTTTTTTTAAAACTTGTGATTGCATGATCAGCATGTGCAACTACACAAACTTGATGTAAACAAAGGGCACAAAATAATGTTGCTTTGAATAAATTATAATTGTTACATATTTGCCCCCTAAAATTTACATTTCAATCAACTGTTCTCTCCTTCGTTTGAACAATACTTTAGCCCTTTCTTTGTTTTCTATTTCAAACCCAATAATATGCAATAATAAATTATAATACGGCAATCAATTTGAAAATTTAATGATCCTCAACCTTTAGGATCACCCCCCCCCCCTCCTGATTCCACTTTCAGGTTCGGTATAACAGAACACTTTGAGCGTGATGCCCAGGGGGGTACTCTTGGGAATAGTCCATTTTCGAGTTCGCTATGACCGCTGAATTAAAGAAGTGACGACGCCTTTTTTACAGCCTTAGCCTCCATCTGAAGTAATATGTTCACAAATTCCAACGAGAAAAAGACTTGTTTATCACTCTGTCTATTGTGTATATTCAAATTTAAAACACTTACTTGCCAGAATTTCTGAATATTTTACTTTACGTCGAGGCTAACCCTGTATGAATGTGTTGTTAATGTTTGTATTCAGCGGTAGTTTGTAATTCGAAACTGGATTATTCTTGGTTGGCATGTGCTGCCCTGTTCTCCAAATCCTGACCCTACTTCAGACCAAAAAAAATGTCACTTTCCACACCCCTTTTCACACCTGACATCTAAAATCCATACCCATTCTCAGACGTGGCCTTTAAGAAATTACGTCATCATTAATTAGATTAGAACAGCAAGAAAAAGAATTCTTAAAGTCCATTTTGAATTCACATATTTTTCTTTCTGTCTTGCTAATTTGGAATTGAAACAGTAAATACGTTCGTACACTCCGGTAGTTCCCTTGAAAACCATACCCGTTTGCAGACCAAAATGAGCAAAGTCTATACCCATTTTCAGACTAAAATGGTGCAGAAAACCCTACCCTTTGGGGCGCTACATACCCAGATGGCATTTCAGATTTGTTTGCTGGGTATTTTATTCTTAATCAACTAAAACCCTTCCTCAAATGTTAAATGAAAGGCTCCAAATGGTAAGTAGGGATTTGAATATTTCTTTGTCATGGTTTAAAGTTAAAAGTTTTCTGCTTTCATTCAAAGTATATCAACGAGGGGGGCGTAAGGGTTTGCGGTATTGCGGTATTGGGCTATTTTTGGTGCGGTGTTGCGTTAATTTTTATTTCAAAGTACGGTGTTGCGGTTTTCAGAGTCCAAGCGGTGTGCGGTGAGTTTGAATTTTATATCGCAGTAGTCGGTGAAAAAATCGTTGTGTCGCGGTGATCTGGTTCTTTTTCATGACAAGAGGATACAAATCCTAAAAGGTCTCCCTAGCTAGCCTGCGTGACCTGCCTGTCTTCCTATAGTTGCACAGTCGGGGATCGTATACAGCTATTTCCAGAAAGGTTGTCGGAAAAAAATGTGCACGCGACAATCCCGAAAGGTAATATGGGACATGATCAATACTCTGTTCCTGACACTGTAGCTGTCGAAACTACTTTTGTTGCTTTACTTTAAAACTCGCATATATACTTTACTGGCCTCTCGTGCCATTCTTTCAAATTTCTTTGAAGAACAGTGAACGCAAAACCACCAACAATACCTTTCAGGATTGGCGCGTGCACTTTTTCCGACAACCTTTCTCGAAATAGCTGTATATATTGCGCAAACAGTCCGGCCAAGACAAATCGTATGGCTTGTAATTTCAGTTAATACTTGACATGATTAACGACATTGCCTTTTTTATCCAATGATACGTAAACATGTCGCATTATTTATGACCTCGTGGACCCTGTGGGAATAGTCAGCTTGATTAACCTCCTTACCAATCTTACCGCCATTTTCGTGCCAGTCGCGAAACAATGTAGCCTCCCCGCAGACGTCCTTTGCGGTTCGTTGAAATGAATGCGTGACAAACGAACCCCAAAGGACGTCTGCGGGGAGGCTAGAAACAATGGCGAGCGATCCAGAGGGTCAACTAAGTGATGAGTCAGATATTCCAGCAAATAGTGAGGTCAGTGAGGTCGTTATAAATTGCTTAGTGTCGAAAGATAATCTGTGAAGATGGTGTGGTCTAAAAATTACTGCTCGTCCTTCTCGTTGTGCGTGCAGGAATATAAATGTACAAGTATTTGCGTGTGCTTAGCGTACGTAGCATGGCAGCCCGGGGCACAGGAAAAAATAACGGATTCCCATTTTTGGGTATTCTAGGGTATTTAAAGAATACCCACAAAAATCCCAAATTTGGAAGAGTGAGACAAGTCCCAATCTGGGAACTTAGTTGAGAATTCCCTGGTTGGGACTTGTCTCACTTTGCCAAATTTGGAATTTTTAGGGGTATTCTTCAGGCCTGGGTATTCTTTAAATACCCTAAAATATCCAAAAATGGGAATCCGTTATTTTTTCCTGTTGGGGTGGGGGGGGAGGGTTCTTCCTTATAAGAGGCTAATGGGGATGTGCCGCTGGATGGGGTCGCATTTTCACGACTGGATTGACTATAATGGAGTCGCATTTTCAAGAGAGTTACTAGAATGGGGTCCACGCGCATTTTCTGAATTTTTGGGGTAAGACAGTTCTTCATATTCATGGTTAGCAAACGTACCGGAATGTTTGTACTGTAGATGAAAAGTAGAGTGATCTTCATTCAATCTAAAAAATGGTCAATTCATAAAAATATATAGAAAGTGAATAAGCTGGGGCCTATAACTGGCCACAGAATAGACTATAATGGGTTAGGCGCTCTGAGGCCAGCGGCACATTAGCAAAAATTAACCCAAGTATTCCTGTTGTATCATTTACGTAAACGTGCACATGTAATGAACAAAATTAAACGAGTGCGATGATCTTATGTTTATCGCACGCTTGACTTCGAAACACTGACACAAAAGTATCATTTCTATTTGAAAGGAGGATTTGTAGTATTGACAACGTCAACTTTTTCCCATTTGTAACTGCGGTTTCGGTATTTGGCTAAATTTTGATGCGGTATTACGGTATTCTCGCGCTACCATGTGCGGTATTGCGGTATTCGCACCCCCCTTACGCCCCCCTCATCAACGGAAGCTTCGCTTTAAGCCCTAAATTATAAGCTATTAAAATGCAAAGTTCACGTGCGTTGCTACAACAAGCCAAGTAGTAAGCCCTGATTGTCTGATTACAACCTAGAGCGATAAAAGTAATATAATAGTTAATGGCCTGAGTAATAAAAACTCAGAAAGAAAGGTATG